GGTGGTACACATAGGACCCTCCTATCTCCTGAGCCCCCACTTCAAGTCAGCAGTGGTAGTTCTTTAGCCAAATACAGTCCAGTTTATTTAGGCCAGCTGTGTTTTATTTTGTTTTGTCTTTACTCTTTAAAATAATTGCAGATTTTCAGGAAGTTGTAAAAATAATACTCTTTAAAATAATTGTAGATTCACAGGAAGTTGTAGAAATAATAGAGTCCTGCATGCTCTCTACCCACTTTCCCCAAGTGGTGATATCTTATATAATTATAGTGCAGTATCAAGACCAGGAAATAGACACTGATACAAAGTTAGTCTGCAGACCTTGTCATTGTTCACATGGATGTACAGTACTGTACAGTTTTATCCCATGTATAGATTCACAGAACTACCATCAAAACCAAGATACCATTGTTTTATTGCCACAAAGGAACCCCCTCATGCTACTCCTTTATAGTTATAACCTCCTTTCCTCCTCCTTTCATGTGGCAACCACTAGTCGGTTCTCCATCTCTGTAGTTTTGTCATTCCAAGGATGTTATTTGTGTGTTTCCTTTTAATTGAAAGTGAGTGCCTTTGGAGGGCATTCTTCTGTTCACCTTAGGTCTCACCATTGCCTATTTTCTTCCACGTTAAGTCTTCAAACATTTAAGTTGTATGCCTGGTATTTGAGGTTGCTACCTGCCCAGTTGTTAATTAGACCCTGTTTCTCAGTGGACACCTGTTTACTGCCCCTTCCCCAGGTTGACAGCTTCTGACATTCTCCTCACCCTCTCTCACTGTCTAGATGCAGGCCCTGACATCCTGTGAGTGTACCATCTGTCCTGACTGCTTCCGCCAGCACTTCACTATTGCCTTGAAGGAGAAACACATCACAGACATGGTGTGCCCTGCCTGTGGTCGTCCCGACCTCACCGATGACACGCAGTTGCTCAGCTACTTCTCCACCCTCGACATCCAGGTACTACAGTCCCTGGGACTCAGGGTGCCCTGGGCTTTGAATAGGAACCCTGTCCACATATCATTTCTATATCCTGTCCCAGCTTCGAGAGAGCCTAGAGCCAGATGCCTATGCACTGTTTCACAAGAAGCTGACTGAGGGTGTGCTCATGCGGGACCCTAAGTTCTTGTGGTGCGTGCAGGTATGTGGCCTGCCAGAGTTGCTGACAGGGGCAGGGGTGGTGCCAGGTCAGGCCTCAGATTGCTTTATGCTCTCCTGCCCACAGTGCTCCTTTGGCTTCATATATGAGCGTGAGCAGCTGGAGGCAACATGTCCCCAGTGTCACCAGACCTTCTGTGTTCTCTGCAAGCGCCAGGTGAGGCACATTCATCCTCTCAGAAATACTTGCTGAGCTACTGGCAGGTACTGTGTTATCTCAGGTGGTCTGCTCTGCTAGAGAACAGAACAGATATGAGCTCAGGACTCAAAGAGCTCACAGACTAGTATTGGGGTAGATGGGGAGAAGGAGAGAGGAAAGAGGGACGAGAGAGAAAAGGTGGAAGGATGAAGGAGGGAAGAAAGAAAGGTGACGAGGAAGAAAAGAAAGGAAGTGAAGGATGGAGCAAGCATAATTACACACTGACTAAAGTTCTGTGAAGAAAACTAATAGGAATTTGAGCTCAGCAATGAAGTAATGGACCTCCTAAAGGTAGAAAAGTCAGACAAGTCTTCTCTAAAAATAGTTTAATTTAAGCTTAAGTCTGAAAGTTAAGAAGAAGCCAATTATGCAAAGAGTATTTGGGACAGAAAGAACAACACATGGGAAGGCCAAAATGATAAGAAAAGGGTTGTGTGGCTGGATCCTCAAGAGCAAGGGGAGAGTGGCAGGCGTTCAGAGAGGAGCTAGTTGCCAGGTCAGGAGAGCCTTGAGGCCAAATGAGGAAGGTATTTGCCTTTCATTATAAGACTAAGCAAGGGACGATACTATTTCATTTACCTCTTAAAAAGTTTAGCATTTGATACCAAAAAGTTGCATCAGTGTTATGAAACACAATAATAAAATGAACACCTGAGAGCATACCACCAAACCTAAAAACTAGAATACTCCCAGTACTGTTGAAGCTGCTTGACTTACCCTTTCAAAGGCACTTTGGCTGCAAGGTAGAGAATGGACCATAGGGATGCAGGAGTGGAGGCAGAGAGACCAGTAACCAAGGCAAGACCTGACCTGGCCCAGACTATGGTGGTCACAATAGGGGTGTAGAAAAAGGAGACAGGGTTGAGATAGGATTGGGGGTGGAAACCAGAATTGCTGGTGGATGTGTGGTGGTATGAGGAAACAGAAGAACCAAGACTGGCCCCTTGGTTTGGGATTTGAGCAAATGGTGGATGCTGTAAATTAAGCCAGGGCCCACTGGGTATGTGTGGAGGGGCCTGGGGTGGAGCTCCCAGGTGATGCTTTCCTTCTGGCAGTGGGAGGAGCAGCACCGAGGCCGAAGCTGCGAGGATTTCCAGAACTGGAAACGCACCAATGACCCAGAATACCAGGCCCAGGGACTGGCGATGTATCTGCAGGAAAATGGCATTGGTAAGGCTGCCCCACTGGCCTGTTTGCCCAGTAATACATCATTGCCTGCAACCCTCTGCCTGAGGGCCTGGAGAAAGAGTGGCAGCCCTGACCTGCTCTGTCTCTCAGACTGCCCCAAGTGCAAGTTCTCATACGCACTGGCCCGAGGAGGCTGCATGCATTTCCACTGCACCCAGTGCCGCCACCAGTTCTGCAGTGGCTGCTACAATGCCTTTTACGCCAAGAATGTAAGCCCTGAGAATGGGGGTAGAAGGGACACAGGGAGGGGGCTGCCATCGGGTATGAGGGACAGAGGCCTCTGGGGAAGAAAAGAGAAGAGGGTGTAAAGGAGAGAAGAGGAGGCCAGTGGGGTGTAAAGCACCTGTCTGTCCCCTTTCCCCCTCTGCTTGCTCCAGACCCTCCAATGTCTCCATCTTCCCCCATTCTTACACTCCTCACAAAGGGGTTCCTGAGAGGCCAGGACCCCAACAGTCTCCATCTTCCCTTCTCCCATCTGGGTTTCCACCAGAAATGTCCAGACCCCAACTGCAGGGTGAAAAAGTCCCTGCACGGCCACCACCCCCGAGACTGTCTCTTCTACCTGCGGGACTGGACTGCTGTCCGCCTCCAGAAGCTGTTACAGGTCAGGAGTGGCCAGCCTGGCTGGGTTTGCAGGTTGCCTAGGAGAGGAGGCCTGGCCGAGGGTGGCGAGAAGGGAAATTCAGGGGGCTGGCATCAAAGGGAACCTAATCCCCATCTGTCTGTCCCTCCTCAGGACAATAACATCATGTTCAATACAGAGCCCCCAGCAGGGGCCCGGGCAGTCCCTGGAGGTAAGTATTGAGATGAGTCCTAGAGAAGGGGAGAAGGTGGGCTGGGCTTCCACTGTGAGACAGGCAAAGGAGAGGCTTGGGTGTGCTGTGAGACCTGGGCTCAAAGCCCATCCATCCTATGCCACTTGTTGCGTGCCCTTTGGTGAGTTAACCTCCCCAGGCCTTATTTCTTCCTCTGTAAAATGGGGTTAATATCCACCTTGCAGTTAAGCTGTTTTACATAAGACCACATTAAAGCACATGGCCCCTCAATACTAATTTTCTTCTCCCATTCCCAAAGGATAATGATTCATTAGTTAACTAAGGGAGTATTTAATGAGATTTGGTAGTTACACTATTTTAGGTTCCATGAGGGCCACAGAAATATTTTACGTGTGATTCTAATCTACCCAACTTCTTCCCATCTAGATAGAGTAAGACTTTTGCAGAATAACTAAGCAAGAACTGAATCACAACCATAAGAGTTGTCTCAAGGGAGCATGGATTATGGGCCAAAAGCCAGCTTTGATAAAAGCAGGGACAGCAAGGTTCCTGCTTTTGTATAAGCATTGGGCTGCCACAATTGCATCTCTGAGTACCCCCACCACCACCACCACCACTGGGAGAGCAGGGTTTTTGTCCCCAGTACCCTCCCTGGGGGCTGCCTCCCATGCCACCATCAATATCCCAGTTCTCCTGGGGCTTTGTGGTCAATGGCCTTCTCCCAACAAAGTGTTCCTTCCTTCCCTCACTCCTAGGTGGCTGCCGAGTGATGGAACAGAAGGAGGTTCCCAACGGGCTCCAGGATGAAGCTTGTGGCAAGGAGACTCCGGATGGCTATGCTGGCCTCTGCCAGTGAGTGCCAGGCAGGGCATGGAGTGTGGCTGGGGAGAGAGACAGGAGCACTCAGGGTATGCTCAGGCAGTAAGGTGGGTCTATAGGATCAGTAGGTCCTGCAAAGAGCCCGAGGGAGGGGCTCTCTGGGCCAGGGCATGGATAGGTAGCAGCCAGCAGCATGCACAGGCTGCCACAGGCAGTCTTGCTCATCTGAGAATGCCAGTGCCCAGCGAAGCCCTCAGTTAAAATTAGCTGAACACAGAACACACACTCTGCCTTCTCATCAACCCAGGGCACACTACAAAGAGTATCTTGTAAGCCTCATCAATGCCCACTCATTGGACCCAGCCACCCTGTATGAGGTGGAGGAGCTGGAGACAGCTGTCGAGCGCTACCTGCACATGCGTCCCCAGCCACTGGCTGGGGAGGATGCCCCAGCCTATCACGCCCACTTGTTGCAGGTAAGTCTTTCCCCAGTGCTCCCCATGCCTCTGACTCCATGCTCTAGAAGTCCCCTCTCCAGGCTTTGCCTGAGCTCCAGGCTTCTAGTTTCATCATCATCTCTCTCCTTCTGCAGAAGCTGATGGAAAAGGTGCCCTTGGGACAGAGTATCCCCCGCAGGAGGAAATAGCTGAGGGCAAGGGTCCTGGCCAGGTTTCTGTGGCCCATCTCCCTCAAGAACCGCTCCAGCACCAATAAAGAGGCATCTCCTTGCCCAGGCTTCTTGGTGGTCCTTCTTCCTGGCCCCACCATCTGGGGGCGCCAGGGAAAGGGGGGTTGAACAGAGCTTTACTGAAAGGTCCCCACTCCCACCCCCACCCCATGCATCCCACTTCCTGACTCTGCCTGTACTCAGGGCTAGAAAGGAATTGATACTATGGATGGCCAAGGGGAGGCCGCCTCCCACCCCCACCATGCAGCCTCCTGGCTTGGGCTTCCTCCTCCCCTGCCTCCCTTCTACCTTTCATCAAATTCAGCAGCTATTTGAGGTACCAAGCAGGCACTGTGGGGGAACACAGATGCACAGGTGATACCGAGCAATCCCGAAATCCCAGGCTGCCCCAGGACTGTGGCCTCCCTGGGGAAGCAGCAGTGTCCCAGCAAGGACTATCTGAGGGAGGAAGGGGAAAGAGCCTGAGCCAGGCGGGGCCCTCCTACCACTGACAGGATTGCGGCAGGGAGATGCTGCTGCCCTCCGGTGGCAATGAGCTGCCCTGCAACTCAGACCACGTGATTTCTGAGAACAGGCGTCCCTGGAGAAGAACTGAAACTTAGGGTGGGGACCGTAGAAAGGGGCGGAGAGATCCGGAAGCTGCCTAACCTGGAGCTGAGCTGAGGTCAGCTGAGCCCTGGGACAGCCTGCACAGCAGCTCAGGTAAGATCAGCCAAGAATCGGCTGTCAGCTTGGATCTAGGACTAGAAGGCCCGGTGGGGTTGGAGATGAGGCCAGGCTCCTGGGGGCCCTTCTGTGAGACTGAGGAACAGGAGGCCTGTAAGCAAGGAGCAAGAGTTTGGGCCTGAGTAAGAGACTGACCAGAGTCCAGTGTCCCCAGCCCTATAGGCAAAGGACAGGAGAATCTGCTGCTGGGTTTGGGGAAGGAATCTCCCCAGCCCCGGCTGACTCTTGTTGCTTGCCTTCCGGCCCTGCCCACTTACGTTGCAGCTCTGCCCCTGCCCCCACCTACCCCACTCCCTGCCCCACCTACCCCTGGGGCAAGCAGAGGTGAGGGATGGGAGTCAAAGGATAGGTTGTGGGGTTGGGAGAGTAAAAAAGGGTCAATCAGTGATCCCAGTAGCAGATACTGCCTCTACAAATGTTTGGGGATCCAGATAGGGCCTCTTACCAGGAACACCACCAAGGGAATTCTACTCCAGACACCTGAAAAAAAATTTTTTTTTTCAGACCAGTGCCAAGGTTTCCTTTGAGATGTCACAGTTTAGGATGTTAAAGCACTTCTTGTAATTTCTACTGATGGCAGAGACAAAACAATTCAGCCTCAGAGAATCCTGAGATATGTCTAGAGGTGAAAGGCAGATGGGATCTCTGGGGGCTTTGTTAGAATCCAATCCCCATGGCCAGGATCTCAGCAGATGTTCCCTTCCAAAGTGTCATTTCTATTGATGCTTCCTGCTGCTCTTATCCCCAGGATGGCATCAGGCAGGGCACGCAGCACCCGAAAGCTCCGGAACTGGGTGGTGGAGCAACTGGAGAGCGGGCTCTTCCCAGGGGTGTGCTGGTATGATGCAGCGAAGACAATGTTCCAGATTCCCTGGAAGCACGCAGGCAAGCAGGACTTCCGGGAGGATCAGGATGCTGCTTTCTTCAAGGTGAAAGGGCTTGGTTACTAGACCCTCTGAGGGATGGAGTAGACACTACTAGCATTCTTACCCTAAAGGGGTTGTGACTGCCTCGGTTTCAGATAAAGGGGAGATTGGCAGCATGCAGAATGGAAGCACACGTGTTATTAAGGATTTCAAGACAGCACAGCTGAGCATAAACCTTAGCACAGGCCCCTCTGTGTGAGTGCTCAGGCTGCACGTTTGTGAAGCCAGCCCTAGTAGAGGATCAGATGGGGTCTATAACACTGCTCTTTTTCACTTCTAGGCCTGGGCAATGTTTAAGGGAAAGTACAAGGAGGGGGATGCAGAAGGCCCTGCTATCTGGAAGACTCGTCTGCGCTGTGCCCTCAACAAGAGTCCTGAATTTGAGGAGGTTCCTGAGAATGGCCATAGGGATGGGGCTGAGCCTTACAAGGTGTACCGGCTGCTGCCACCAGGAACCCTCCCTGGTGGGTGTCCTGTTGCCCAGCCACGCCTAGAGTGAGCACACTGGGGAGGATGGGTGGAGATAGGAGCCCTCCACTCCCAGAGGGTGGTGGGCCTCCTCTAGGCCCCTCAGGCAGAGTGCTGTCCCAGGTTCCCTGGCCCAGGACTGCCTGTCCTTTCACTGCTTCCAGTCTTTTCCCTACCCTCTACCTCCACTGACAACACTGACCTTTCTCTCCCCATCCACAATATTCCATAGCCCAGCCAGAGACCCAGAAATCACCATTAAAGCGACCCCACAGTTCTGTGTCCTCAGAGAGGGAAGGTTCCACAAAGAACTGCACACTCAGTCCCTCCTCACTCCAGGACCCCCTCAGAAAGGTGAGATCTGGGGAGGGGGCTGGAGGGCAGGACAGTAACGGGAAGAGCAGGCCAACGACGGACACTGTGTCTGCAGGAGGAGGTGGGGGCCAGTGGGGAAGCAGGCCATTCAGACTCTGGGAGCAGCAGGAGCAGCCTGGAGCCTCGGGAAGGTACCAGTACCCCTGCCTCCTGTCATCCCCGTGCTGTACCCTCAGCCCTTGGGCTCCCTGAAACCACTCAGAATGATGTGCCTCTGCCTCTCTTCCAGGTACAGACACACCTGAGGCCCCTTTCCAAGGAGATCAGGTGTCCCTGGAGCTTCTGCCTCCTCCAGACTCAGGTACTTGGCATTTCTGACTCATCTCTGCTCTGTGTCCCCCCAGGTAGCCTTCCTGTGGCTGTACACACATTATTTTAATCTGCCAGGGCTTGCAGCAAACTGGGCCCAGCTTTCCCAGAACTGAGGCACTGGTGTCTAGGCAGTGCACCTGGCCAGACTCCAGACTCAAAACAGCTTCTCAGAAATAGCCCCTGCTTTGAGACATTGATTTATGTGGGGTAAGCAGAGGCCCAACCTCTGGGACTTCCTGTAAACTCTAAGACCGTGGACATTAACCCCGGAGGCCTCAGTGGGCATCTGTGTATTAGCTACTCTCCTGAATGACTGGAAAGTCTGACAGGAAGTCCCCTGGCTGTGAGGGTGAGGGGAATGAGGATGAGGAGGGAGGGTACCTTCACTGTCCTCAGAAGGCCCAGCTGCTGCCCCTACCCCACAGCCTGCCTTATCCTTCCCACTGCCTGCCTGGCTTCCCTCTCAGGGCCTTACATTTCTCACCAGCTAGATGAGGATGCTGGGTTTGCAAGGAGCCCTCTTTGTTTCTCCAGAACCTCGTGCTGACCAGGTGGGCCTCTGGGAAGAGGCACTGGTGCAGCTGGCCGATCTCTGTCCGCAGACTACTCGCTGTTGCTTACCTTCATCTACAATGGGCACGTGGTGGGGGAGGCCCAGGTGCAGAGCCTGGACTGCCGCCTTGTGGCTGAGCCCTTGGGCTCCCAGTGCGGAATGGAGCAGGTGGTATTTCCCAAGCCTGGTCCACAAGAGCCTACCCAGCGCCTGCTCAGCCAACTCAAGAGAGGTGTCCTGGTGGCCAGCAACTCCCGAGGCCTCTTCGTCCAGCGTCTTTGCCCTATCCCCATCTCCTGGAACGCGCCCTACTCCCCTCCTGGTCCAGGCCCGCATCTGCTGCCCAGCAACAAGTGCGTGGAGCTTTTTAGAACTGCCTACTTCTGCAGAGGTGAGGCTGCTCCAGCTCAGTGCCTGAGCCCCTGCCCCCCTATGTATTAGTACCCACCCCCTGGCGCAACTTGGTGGGCCCTGCCACCCCCGGGTGCTCCCCCAAGTAGATCCTCCGTCACAGCCCAGGCATGGCCCCCCTCCACTTGTATGGTGCACAACTTGTGAGGACCTGTGCTCAGCTCTGGCAAGCTGCCCCCATCTTTCCCCAGTCAAGGCCATAGCAGATGAAGCTCTATGGTGGCACCCAGAACATGAGTGTCACATCTTGGGGAGCACCACCACATGGAAGCATACAGTAATCCTGGGAAGTGTACCCTGTGGCCCTCTTCTACATACACACGTGCACTCATGGCTATCCACATGTTCAGGAGAGCTGGTGCATGTCACACTCCAGGCTACTAGGGGCTCCTCTCCCATCTGCTCTGGAAGGGATTCCACTCCCTGCCTCCATTGAACTCTAAATCTGACCTTGGGAGTGAAGGCTTGAATATAGTGGCCACAAAGCATGAATGTTCCCTGGGCCATGGCTGCTCCAGCATAGGGAGGGTGCTCGTGAGCAGGCAACAGGTGTGGATGCATCTGTGTTAGCAACCAGTGCTCTAAACCCTCCCAGCAGAGAGCTTTTCCAGCTACATAATAATCAGCCACCTCTAAATACTCATACTGGAGGAAGGGGCACTTTCCTGTTTGTGCATGCCTATGCACAAGTAGCAGCTTAAATCCCAGCATTTCTGGCTTGAGGCAACAGCTCACAACCCTGCCACCCTGCCACGCCTGCTCTGGCCTTGGTCTTCAAGTAGCCCCACACCCACCTGCTATCTCTGGGATGGGCTTGTCCCTATACCCTCCCTGCCTGTAGTCCCTCTTCTCTTTTTTTTTTCCTTCCAGCCCTCTACCCTTTCTCTTTCAGACTTGGCCAAGTACTCCCAGGGCCTGGGCCCACCACCCAAGTTCCAGGTAACACTGAATTTCTGGGAGGAGAACCCTGGCCCCAGCCACACCCCACAGAGTCTTATCACAGTGCAGGTGAGTTCGGGGCAGGGGAAGAATAGCATGCTTGTTGTGGGGGGAGGCAGGGGTGCCAGGAAAAGGGGCCTATTGGAGTAGCTCCTGGGGCAAAAGCCTGCCTCTGTATGCTCATGGTACCCTCTTGCCACACAGATGGAGCAGGCCTTTGCCCGACATTTACTGGAGGAGACACCGGAGGAGCAGGCAGCCACTCTGTCCCTGGTGCAGAGCCTGGGGGACCCACCTTCCTCCCCTCCTCTCTCTTCCTCCTATCTTTGAAAGACACTCATTCTCCACGCTATTGACCTGCCTCACTGGGTGATAATTCTCAGTGGTTGTCAGTGATAGTTACATCCTTGAACTCCTCGTGTACCCTGGCTGGTGGGGAACTCAACAGTTTTTATGACTTATCTTTTTTTTTAAATTTTGAAGCCCTCTATATTCCTCTTTGATTTCTGAGGAACTGAATTGGGAAAGTCCAAATGGTGTGAACTCAGGGGACTCTTCCCCAACCCCAAAGCCAAGCACTTTATATTTCTTCTTAGATTTCACTAAGGATTTACAATAAAATTTTACTGAAGAGGAATCAGCATCTTATTTGTTGGGAGAAAAGGTAGCAAGGGTCACAGGGAGATGATGGAGATATAACATGAGAACACAGCACTCCGGCTCTCTTCCTGCTGACATCTCCAGGCCCCTTTCCTCCCCTCCCCAGGTTCTGGCTAGAAAGCTGCCAGGGCTGTGGGTTCTCGGCTTGGCTCTCTGTACCTTCTAGGCAACCAGGATTGGGGAGAGGGTCGGGGCCAGCCACGAAGAGGGTCCCTGGGCCTACAGCCCCTGTAGCTACTAACTTTACATTGGAAAATCTGGCTCCACAGTTCTTGGCTAGATGACCCTGCTTTGGGCCTTCACAATAGGCCTCTGGTCTAAATAAGCAGGAGAACCTGAAGTTGACCTGGAACTATGAGGCCAGAGGCCTTGGGACCTGGGAGGGAAGGAGAACTCAGAGGGAAGAGCTGCTGCACCTTGTGTGCTTGGGGCCAACCAGGTCCTGGTGCCTAACCTCCCAGCACAGTGCTGTCCTCGCAACTGAAGGGTACTCCCTAACTGGTGCCTCACTCTATAAGTCCCACAAAACACCCTGCCTAGACTGCTGTGTCACCAATGCTATGTTCACTGAGATATGAGGGCTCCAAATCAGCTGACATTCTCCCTTACTCCTGTGTTTATCTTGTTACCAAACTGGAAGTTCTTCCTTCACAAGGCCACTTGTCATCCTGCCTCTGTACACTCACTTCCACTAGACTAGTTCAGACCTAAGTCACAGCTTATCTAACTGCCACAGCCTCCAGCATTGTCTTCCCTATATATGATGGCAGAATGGAGGAAAAGGGCCTCTCAGGCCAGACTTCTTCCTATCATGTCACTTTTATGAGCCTCCTGTGGCTCACTTACAGGGTCAAATCTAGATGCCTAGATCCTTGAGGATCTTCCTGCTGTCTCACTTGACAAATATCAGTGATGCTTTTGAGTCTTTCTACCTCCTTGGACCTTCTCTTTAGTCTTGCTCAGTATCCTGAGAACCCAAACAGGCGTCTCTACGAGCAGCAGAGAAATCAGCCACTGAGGGCACAAGTACACCAGCCCTGTTAGGCGCTTAATTTGCTGAAACCCTTGCTGAACTTCTTTGTACCTGCTAACTCCTTGACTTCCATTTGCTCTCACACCCTGCATCCAATCCATCAGCAAATCTCATCATTATTCTTTCAGAATCTGTCCAGAATCTGTTTCCTTCTTCCACCCCCACCCACCCCCAATACTTGGAAACCAGCTGCCATCATTTGTCATACCTCTTCCAGCTTTCATTCATTTCTTTTCTGCTTTCACTCTTGTCCACCTTCAGCTGATTTTCAGGAGTAAATCTCTTAATATGTAAATTGCACTATGTCATTCTTCTGCTCAAACCCTCCATTGGCTCTTGACTCAGAGTAAAAGCCCAAATCCTTACAATAGCCTCTAAGATCCTTGCAATGTGGCCTCTATCCTCCTCGTTAACCTCATACCTCTTGCCATTCTTCTCCAGGCTTATTGAACCCACCAAACACATTTCTGCCTCAGGACCCTTGCACTTGCTGGTTCTTTTGTCTAAAATACTCTTTCTTTAGGTAGGCAAGTGACTTGCCTTCTCTCTTTCAGAGCAGGTTTCCCTGTGAACCCAACCTAAATAGTAGCTTCACTACTTTTTCTTTTCCTATGCCTCATTTTTCTTCATAGCTCTGATCACTTCTTGTACTTTTTTGCCTACTTCTCATTTCTCTCCCCTACTCCATAAGAATAGGGACTTATTTTGTTCATTGCTATATCCCAGTGGCCAGAGGAGTGCTGGCACATAGTAGGCATGTAATAAATAATTGTTGAATGGATGGATGGATGAATAAATTACCGTATCCCTTGCCCATTTCCTAAACTAAATTCTAAACACTTTAAGGACAGGTATCCCTATGTTATCATCTTTGTGCCCCATTGTAAATACTTAAAAATGTTGACATTTATGTCATATAGAAGCCAATGTAGTCAAGCACAGTAGAATAAGTATTGGGAACATTGGAATTCAAGAGAGCAGAGCTATCAGCCAGGCTGTCACTAAGAAGCTGTGTGGTCTGGGAGAAACAGTCTTTATGGGCCTCTGTTCTCCATTTGTAAAGGTAAGGCTTGGACTAGGTTTTGAAATCTCTTTCAGCCTTGACATTCCATGGTTTTAAATTCAGGGCGAGTGTACATTCATTTGACAAATGTTTACTGCAATAAGAGCTGAGTCTCTTAAGAGGCAGAACATGCCCTGGACTCACAGTTGGAAGGGCATTCTAGGCCAAAGAAATGCTGTGTAAAGGCAGGGAGCATGGGGACAAGGGGTATTTGTAACTACAGCCATACAACTTTAATTTTACACAAAGAATTGAGACAAACGGCTTTGGCATATAGAGAAGTGTTCCCTGCATCCAACAAAGGTAAGGTCTGTTAAAGCCAGGAGGACACTCATAACTGGAAAACAGCCTGTTGGGGGATGCCCACAACCTCAGTTGTTTAGGTTTAGGAAATGACCCAACAAGCCCCGTCACTGCTTCCTGTGAGATCTGACTTCTTGCCCATCGACCTGTGGGGGGCTCCAAGGCCACCTCAAGCTGGTGGCCCCAAGCCAGCCTTACATCGTTTCTACCTCCAGCTGCCGACAGGCCCTAGGCTGGACACAAAGATGAATCAATCAATTGATAATTGGTGAGATTTGGGGAAAAGGGAAGGTCTAACCGCAGGTCAGGTGCCCCAAACCGGGCAGGAGAAGTTGCCCTCGGCATGACCCTACCACCCCTACTAGTTGAAGGGCCCTTGTTACCAAGCCCGCTGCCGGGCAGAGGCTGGGATTTGCTCCCCGCTCATTGGCCCGCAGAGCAGGGCCTCTCCGAGGAATACTTGTTACCAGAAGGAGAACGAGAGTCCATTGGTCAAGACACCTTACAATGGGGCAGCGCGCAGGGTTCTTCCTATTGGTTTGCTCCCTGACGCGGGACATTCCTGTTGCTTCAACACCAGGCAGGCTACTTGGCGTCCTGGAACCCGCGCTCCCGAGCCCACCCCGTTCCCCATTGGCTGTTTCTGGGGGCCTACTGAGGAGCGAGGCTTAGAGCACCAGGGTGCGCACTCCCTGCCGTGGGACCAAGTGCCGCCGGAGGGCGCCACGACCGGGACTGCAGGGGCCGAGACTGAGCGCAAAGGCCCAGGGCCCCCGCATCTCTACGGAGGAAACCCGTTCTCCCTCGGGACCTGGTCTGGGTCACAGCGTGGGCCTTCATTCCAAGAGCTCTGCATCTCCAACCTGGAAACCAACTCGGAAGGCTCCAGTAAGTTCGAAGTACTCACGGGGCGTGCAAACCCACCCAGGGGCGACGGAGAGGCGCGTCCCAACTACTGTGTATGCAATCTGCGTCTCCATTTACTTCTCCCCTAAATCGTTTATTCTCCAGTTTGCATTTGGCATTCTATGTCCACCTGACACGCCACCTGTCCAAACCCTTCTCACCAACGGTGTTGGGAACTCCCGTGCCCTAAAGAATTTGGATTGAGATCCGAATAGAGCAGTGGTGAAGGCGAAGGTGAAACCCCAGAGAAACGATGTTCTACTATCCCAACGTGCTTCAGCGCCACACCGGCTGCTTCGCCACCATCTGGTAGGGGCCAGGCCGGGTGGGCGTACCAAACGGGGGCCCACGGACCCCAGCCTGACGCTCCTCTTCCCCCTCCAGGCTGGCGGCGACGCGCGGCAGCCGCTTGGTGAAGCGCGAATACCTAAAGGTGAACGTGGTGAAGACTTGGTAAGGCCCAGAAAAGGGAGGAATGGCCTGGTATCAGGGTTAGGGGATGATTTGGGGTGGGCAAGATTGTGGGGTTGATCCGTAGCAGGGCGGTCATCAAGGCGCGTGTTCCCCCAGCGAGGAAATCCTCAATTATGTGCTGGTGCGAGTGCAACCCCCGCTGCCTGGCCTGCCGCGGCCCCGCTTCTCCCTCTACCTTTCAGCCCAGCTCCAGATCGGCGTGATCCGCGTTTACTTTCAACAATGCCAGTACCTCGTAGGTAAGGCTGGGAAGGCTCTAAGATGGGGCAGAGCTGAGTGGCCCTTGGCTAGGCTGGCTCTCTACCTTGCTTTCCCTGCCCACAGAGGACATCCAGCACATCTTGGAGCGTTTACACCGTGCCCAGCTGCAGATGCGCATTGATATGGTAGAGGCTGACCTGTGAGTTGCCCCCCTGGGCCTGGGACCACCCAGCCTTGGCTAAGGAACCTCTCTGCTTCACCTCAGCCCATCTCAGCCTCAGTCCACAACAGCCCAAATTCTTTCTCAGACCCAACCTGCTGCTTCCTAACCACCTGGACTTGATGGAAACCCTGGAAGATGCTCCAGACCCCTTTTTTGGGATGATATCTGTGGATCCCATACTTCCCAGTCCCTTCAATATCCCTCAGGTAGGGCTCAATCCCCTGGGACACCTCAGACTGATTTCACAATGCATACAGAGACTGCTGACACTGGGGTGAGTGGAAGGGAGCCTGCCACAGCTCTGCCCCTCAGGAGTTAGTGCAGAGGAATGGTCTTGATGGACCCATCCAGACAAAACTACTCCACTTACCTATTCAGAGCCAACCTAGAAGCAGCTCTTGTCCCCACTTATTTCCACAGTTCCCACAGCCAAGGCCCTAATCCAGGCACCTGTCCTTTGGCATTGGGTTTCCCTTCTCTATCAGTTCCTAATGCCCCACAATTTAGAAAGTGTTATTCCCTTCCTTCAAAGCACTTCCAGGAGTTCCCCACTGCAAAAAGAATACTAGAATTTAGAGTTTTCCATACCCCAGTCCAGACCTAGCCATTGTCAGACATCTCTCAGCATATCCCCTGGGCATTTTTCATTTCCAAACACTAGTCTGATCCATATATCCTAATGATGCTACATTCATTTGTTTGGTTATGTTGTTTCCCTAGCCCATAATGGTCACTGCTCATTCTCTACCAGTTAAGACCTACATTTCCTTACAGACCTGGCTCAAATACTACCCTTTTCCACTGACTTTATCCCACTCCCAGCCAGAATCCAATGTTGTTCTGGAACACAGCACATCACTAGGGCCTTATTTTATCCTTGTGTTGACTCTTGCTGAGGTCATATACAAACTTGTCTCCCCCCCTAGACCATACCAATCTTTCCTGTACCCTCTGTCCCCCATAAGTTGACTAAGGATGCAATGCTTCTCACAAAGACAAAATGACAGAGGCTAGATAATTGAGGGGGCTGACAGCAGGAATGGGAAGAGAGGGGAACAGATGGCAAGTGGGTTCACTGCATAGTGATGCCGATGCCCCAAGAATTAGGCATGATGGGGTATTACTGTCCATTGTCTGAATGAGGGTGTGAAAAGTGGGAAAGCAGTGGCTGAAGCTTAATCCTGTTGTTTGTCCCCAATCCCTCCCCAAAGATTCGACACCTCTTGGAGGCTGCAACCCCAGAGAGAATCCCTAAAGAGCCTAGGAAACCAGGTGAGTAGAGAGTCTTCTTTCTGGCAAGAGAAAAAGGAAGGCCTAAGAACTGAAATGACAATCTTTGAGCTTCTCTTAAGAGACGGCTCTGAGCAGAGGTCTTTATGTCTGTAATCCCATCATTGTCTCCCAATAGTCCTATGAGGTCAGAATTTTCATCCTCATTTTACAGTTGAGGAAACTAGGCCCATAGTTGTTAAGCAACGTAACCAGGGTCAGATTGCCAGTGACCGGCTGGGCCTCACTAGAACCTGGGTTGACCTGAGTCCATGTGGGAACTTGGAAAGCAGCAGGGAGGCTGGTGTGACTTCCCTGCCCCTCCAGAAAGGATCCTGGTCACTGTGCTGTCTCCCGAGGCCATCACCATCCAGGAGGCGGAGCCCATACACATGCTGCAGATTGAGGTGAGTTGTGCCCCTGCACAGTCTGAGGCCTGAGGTCTGCTTTCTATAGCCTAGCTCCCCTTGCATCTACCTACTTCTCCCTGCCCAGAGTCCCGCCTTCTCCGTCACCATTTCCAGACTCCCTGCCCCTGGCACTTGAGCACCCAGTGGAGCTTGCTCAGCCCAGCCCTGTAGCATGCCTCCTGGATCTTACTTTCCTTTTTTAGAAATGGAATTGAGTACCCTCTCCTTGCTCTTCCCCTCTCAACAGGGTGAACAGGACCTCCCAGAGGTCAGCCGCCGAGACCTTGACCTACTGATCGCTGAGGAAGATGAGGCTCTCCTGTTAGAGGAACGTCGTAGGGCCCACCTAGCACCAGACGGTCAGGCCCCTGGCATTGACAACCTGGGCCTGTGCAGTGCCCCCCCTCTCCTCTTCTGCACACTGAGCCCTGATCCTCTCTCTGCAGAGACCAAGGAGGAGCCCCGGGCCCCAGAGGGAAACACCATAGTTCCCCCACTCTCGCCTCTAGCTCTTGCACAGTAAGGGTAGGAACCCTTGGGCCAGTTAGGGGGTTATTGCTGGGACGATGACCTAATTTCTTTTACCCTTCTTTCCTCAGAGTGGAAGGGGCAATAGAGCCACTTCCAGGCCAATTGCTAGCCCCTGAAGAACTCAGGCTGGCAGGCTGGGAGCCCGGGGCCCCACTTACTGGTGAGCACCTACCAGGCCGGGGGGGGGGCCTTGCCAGGGCCACTTGCATAGCTGCTGCAGGCAAGGGCCCTGTATTCCAACTTGCTGAAGGGAGGCTCTCTAGCTTCTTGTCTGGGTGGCCATGAGGGCAAAGGGTGTGGGGCAGAGCCAGGACCTGAAGTGTTGTTGCAGAGGTGACCCCTCCTCAAGAGCTGCGTCCACCAGCCCCACTCAGCCTAGAGGTGAGTAGCACACTTCACCAGCAACCCCTGCCTGCTTCCACTCTCCTCCTCAGCCAGTTGTTCATTTGTATTTGGCTTCTCCAAGCCCTGCACCACTGCTGGGCCTTTGTGCAAATTAGTAAAAGGTGCCCCTGGCCACACCCCATTTTATCCAACTTGCCTTCTCAAACAGGGGTGGTAGGTGCAAACTTGCAGAGGCCCTGCCCAAGCTTTCCCAAGGCACCTCTGGGGGGCAGGAGTGTGAGGCCTGTTTGCTGTCAGGATGACAGGAAAAGGAGTAACGGGTAACCTTGCTCCCACCTCCCGTCCTTAATCAGCGGAGGAGGCCCCCAGTCTTCCCAACTCCTAGGAGTCCACCTGCTCGCCGCCGCCGCCAGTTATTGTTCTGGGACAAGGAGACTCAGATTTCCCGAGAGAAATTTCAGGAACAACTGCAAACCAGAGCCCATTGCTGGGAGTGTGTAAGTGCAGCCTTAGCTCTGCAGGGGATGGAGGGAGGCAGTGAGGGCCTGGGGCAGGTGCATGCAGGGCCTTGTAAACTCCTGGGGAGATGAGAGCATTTCCCAAAGTGCATGCATTAGGGAACTCTCCGTGTTCTTTGGTGACCCCAGTGAGCACATCCATGGATACCAGTTAAAAAAGTCCTACTTTTAATAGTCAGAGCAGGCAGGAGCAGGATGTTCAAAGGGTTGGACAGCCAGGCCTGGAACAAGGCACTGCAAAGAGGTGGGGAAGGGGTAGTGAGGAGTGGCTCCCTCCTCACGAGGCTTATGGCCTTCCCCCCATGCAGCCAATGGTGCAGCCTCCAGAAAGGACCACGAAAAGTCCTGCAGAGCTGTTTCGAACCCCAACTCACAGTAAGGAGTGGCAGGAGTTGGCACATGGCATCCTCTGAACCCATATTCCTCACACCACCAATCCTGTTCCCAATGCCCTCGTTTCCAGCGTGCTGGCTACCTCCAGAACTGCTGGCTCTCTGGACACACTGTGCCCAGCCACCCCCAAGAGCACAGGTCAGGAGACGAAGGCCACCCCAGGAGCCTGAGGAGGAGGCTGCTGAGAGGGAGGTAGCAGCTGAGGAAATAAGAAAGGCTGAAACTCCGAGTGATATTGAGGTAACCACACCCATCTTTCCTAGAGACCAGTTTGCTTTGCCAGAGCTCCAGCAGGCTGCCTTTTGCCAATAGGAGCCAGCAATGCCAGGTTCTGGGCACAGGACTGGGCTGTGTCCTGCCCCAGAGCCTAGGCTGGCTCATGGTGGGACTGCTTGACCCCTGCTCCAGGTGCTTATATACTGGGGGTCTTAGTTCTCTTTCTCCCACCCCCAGGTGCTGAGGGAGGCCCAGGAGCCCAGTGGACCCCTCATGCTGTCTTCAGGTAGGCACTGGGAAATGTAGACAGTGGGGGCCACCACCTGAACTACTGTTGCAGGCAACAGGTACCCCAAGTGTTGATGGTTTTAATCAGAGGGTGTGCTTAACATGAGGAATGAGAATTCTCTTCAGTTCTCCCACCTGGGTACTTTTAGCAACTCACTGCATAGCTCTGGCACCCAGTTCAACCAGGTGGCCCCAAGGTCCTGACCTCTCAAATGAGCAGCCCTACCAGGACCTCGCCTTCCCCCAACAGAGCTCTCCCTAGAAGCAGCTGAGGAAGAGAAGTCCCGCATCAGCCTCATCCCCCTGGAAGAACGGTGGTAAGCTGCCAGCCTGGGGGCACCCAGGCCTATAGCCCTCGCCAGGTCAGGAGACTGGCTGGGGTGGGCATGGCCCATCGCTGTTACAGCTGTCATGTTCCTTGTTCCACTTTACTTCCCATTCTAGGGCCTGGGCTGAGGCAGAGCAGCCAGAGCCCCCTGCTTTGCCCATGGTGCCTGAACTCCCTGAAGTACCCATGGAGATGCCTGTGGAGCTGCCCCCAGAGCCTGAGCTGCTCTCGCTGGAGGCCATGCACAGGTACCAGAGAGGGGTGCCTCATGAGGGAAGTCCAGGCTGGGGACTCAGCTAACAGTTCTTGATCTCTATAGGGCAGTGGCCCTGGAGCTGCAGGCCAACAGGAAGCCTGATTTCAGCAGCCTGGTATCACCTTGCAGCCCCCGCAGGATGGCTGCCCGGGTCTTCTACCTGCTCTTGGGTGAGTGTGGGCATGTGTGTGTGTGCATCTGTCTGTGGGGACACATGGGCCAGAGGCTACTCTAGGGACTTGCCCTAACTGGCTCTCTCCTCCCCTCTTGACCAGTGCTTGCAGCACAGAAGATTCTACGTGTGGAACAAGAGAAGCCATATGGGCGCCTCCTGATCCAGCCAGGGCCCCGATTCCACTATGGCTAGAGCCAATTTACAAAGCTGTTAGGAAACCAGCTACATTAAACTAGATCCTGGCCGCCTCATTTCTGAACACGCATCTCTGTGCTTTCTGCTCTGAGCTACTGTTCAAGCAGAAAATGAACTGCCTTTCTAACAGGATGATGTCATAACTCCATTTGTATTGTCCACAGCGTTAACAGATCCAACCCCAAAGGTGTCCCCATAAGGCAAGCAAGCAGGGCTGTGGGTGTGAGGCCCTGAATCATTGGTACTGTGTGAGCTGGAACTGGGCTGAGAGGTGGTCTTGGGGCCTGGGCAGGCTCGGTTCTCTTTGGCCTGGCTGTAGCCCACAGCCTAGGTGAGGCCCAGGACAGCCTGGAGTTCCTGAGCTTTGTCACCAGGCAATGAGCCTAGTGCAGAATGGAAGCTGTCGGTATGCTGTCTGGCCAAGAATGTCAGGAGCAGCAGCAGTGCAGCCTTGGTGTCTGGGTGGAGAGCGAAGAGGGAGAGATCCAGGGAGGACTGGCATCCCAACCCCTAGATGTCTCAGGACCTTGGAGCTCTGATGCTCCCTGCCTCCCTCTGGCTCTGCCCTCTCACCTGGTGGGATCTTGTTGTCAGACAGAATGAGGCTATAGATACGCAGGAGCTCAGGGGCCACATCCCCAACCTGTGGGTAAAGAAGGGCTGACTTGGGAAGCAGCATCCTGGGCCCCAAGGATAGGGACCAAAAAGAGGCAAAGTCTCGTACTAGGGCTGTTTGAACCTGACACTGATTCACAGGCATCCAAAACAACTGTGGAGCATGAGAAGGACCCATGAGACATGGTAATAATTTTTTTGGAGGGGATGGCTTCAAAGTGATGGCCTCAAGACCAAAAGCAGCCCAGACATCCAGGAGCTCCACCAATACAATAGTTTCTAAAGATGCAAGACAGAGGTGATGCACACAGGGACCCTGGGACATGAATCCAAATCTAGCCACGGGGTGAAGACAAATCTCCCTCAGAAAGCAGAATAGCTGACTAGAATGGAAGGTAGGTGGCCCACAGGTACCCAGCCTCCTTCATGGAGTGCAGTATGAAAGAGCCCTGGTAAAGGACATCAGCCTAGGAAGTTCTGATTTCTGGCTCAGACCAGAGGGTAGAAATAGCCAGGGAGGATAGAGCTTCCCTAAGAAAAAATGCTATGTGGTAAGAGAAAGTCCCTCCTCTCCCACTACAGGCATGGCTGCCAATCCTGCAGACAAATATGAAAGCAAAAGAATATGTTATGTCAAAGGACAGCTTAAACTGTAACTGCATTTAGCCACAACTGACTCCAACTCTGCCTGTCACTGAGACTGGAGGACAAGCTCCCCTCTAAGGGCCGTGCAGCATCAAGGTTACCTGGTCAGGGCTGCTCTGGTGCAGGAAGCTGAAGAGGTGCCCTATGGTGACCCACTCCTCCAAGTCTTCCTTAAGGGGCAGGGCATGCAGCAGGGCAGCTAGCACCTGGACACACAGATGCCTCATGTACCACCCTGCACCCTTTTCAGCTTACTGGCCCTGCCTGATGCCCCCATTCCTCACCTGGGGCTCTGGTTTCCTTGTAGGACTGGCCATCAGCAGGCGGGCGAGTGCCCCACAGATGTTGTCACAGACACGGTCATGGCGCTCCCGCGCCAGGAGGGGCAACAGGAGCCCCAGCAGCTTGGGGAAGTGTCTGGTTCCACAGTCAAGGAATAGGCACCCAGGCAGACCTCTTGGATCTCTGAGCCCCAGGAATACTCTCCCAACCTCACCCCAGCCCCCTTCTGCTAGCCAAGGATACTCCTGGGCAGGGTGGCCCCCATGCTCTGCCAGCACACCCAGCCCGAAGATGGCATTGCTCCGCACCTCGGGGTCTACCTCCCGGGTGGAGCTCAACAGCACAGGGAGAAGCCGGGACACAAACTGGGCTGAGGCAGCACCCAGGGCCTGAATGGACTCTGCCAGCGTTCCCACTGCAAAGGACTTCTCTGCCACCGTGCATCCCTGTTTCTGGTGGGGAGAGGAGTGCAAGTCAGCCTAGGGACTGGGACAGAGTAGGAGGCTGGACATAGGGCACATGGGCAAAAAAAGTTTGAAGCCAGAGGAAATACTCACGGTCTTGCACAGCAACAATGGCAAGAAGGGGGCAAAGAAGGGGGCAAAGGCGTCTCCCCCGGCTGCAGCTGCCAGCACAGGGATGGCCTCACCAGCATGCTCTAGCAACATGGCGTCATATTCAGCCTGTGGGGCCAGGTCAGGGGCTAGAGAACCAGAGCCAGCTCTGCACCTGTGGACACCTCCCACCATGCTTGGCCACTCCTGCAGGCAGTCCACCACTGCCACAAAACAGGCCCTTTCCAGACTGGGCTTATTTAGGTCCAGCCTTTTCTTCTGGCTCCTACTCTTACCTATCAATCAATCCCACCTTGAATCCCCACCTCCAGGAAGCCTTCCCAGACTCCACTGTCTTGGTGGAAGCAGGGTTGCATCTTTTGGAGCCATTATGTGGCTCCCCCAGACCAAGCCCAAGTACACTGTCCACACCTGCCCTTGTGGGACTATCTGGACTGCCTAGTCCCAGTTTGCATCTGTAGCTCTTACCTGGTCCTCCTCCTCTTCCTCATCAGTGTCCTGACAGGCTATCTGCAGGAAGAGGGAGCTTGACAAAACCTTGGCTTGCCTGCCCCTTGTTTCCATGAGTCAGGGAAAGGGGTAGCTGCACCTGTAGCCTCTGAATCTCCCCATCTGAGGCCGGGCCACCATCTTACCCAGAAGCCCCTCTGGCCTACTCACCTTCTTCTGCAGCACAGCCTTGAGCATGTTGCAGAGCTCAGCAAGGCGCCCAGGGGGTTGCAGTGTGAGGGTCCCACAGCTGCGTAACACCCCAGTCAAGGCCTCCAGCACAGCCATTACCACCTGGCGCTCCCGCTCCCCACGCACTGCCTGCACATAGGATGGCACCACTCGGGCCAGGGCAGCCTGCAGAGCTGGGGACATTACTGGCTGATGTCCAGTCAGGCCCCGCCCCTCTCTTCCTTGCACCCAGCCCCAGCCTCCCATTCTCACCAGCAGTGTTGGGTTCTGAGGGGCAGCTTTGACAGGCCTTGTGCAGTGCACAGCAGAACTGACCCACCGCCTCATGGGCTGCTTTCCGCACATTCGGGTGAGGACACTGCAGATGAGGAGGGGCGGCTGTGCCTGCTGTGTGCAGGGCAAACATGGGGCCTGCAACCCTCAGACCCAAAGACTCTCTCACCTCCAGCAGTTTGAACACTTCTTCAAAGACACTTTCCATGTAGGGAAGGAAGGCCACACTGTGGACAAACACACGCCATATGCAAGGGGTTTGCAGGCAGGATTCTCAGGGCCAGGGAAAGGCTGATGCTCACCTGCTGTTCACAGAAATCTCCCCCAGTGCAGCACAGGCATCTTCCTTCTCATCGAAGAAGGCATTTTCCACGCTGTACCTAGAGTACAGTGCGGAAGCAGCAGTGCTCAGGCATCAGGAAGACTGTGCCCCACTGTGCCCTTGCCCAAGGCCAAGATACCTCTGAACAGAATGGCACCCCTCCGTACCCTGAGATCTCAGAGTCATCCTCCTCTTCCTCGTCCATGAGTTCCTCCTCTTCCTCCCCATCACTCTCATCATAAAACAGAAGGAAGGAGCTGCTTCCATCTTGCTGAGGCTGGACAGAGGATGCACAGGAGGGACTTTGGCTCAGCTGGGCCCAGAAGATGAATCACAACCCAGGGCTGGCCTTCCCTCACCAGCCAAGCCCACCATCTCCTCACCATAATGCCCTCAGTGGAACGCAGTGACAACAGCATGAGTGTGGTGATTTGTGGCAGGTGGAGTGCCAGACTCTCACCCATTAGCCCTGATAAGGCTGCAAACAGGCTGTACCTGGTGGAGTTAGATGGAAGCTGTATAATCTTGCCTGGTATAGCCAGACAGGGTGGGGGAACCCAGGGAAACCTATGGTCCAGGACCAGAAGACTGGGGTCTGGGGTAAGGGATGGGGATCCAGTGGCGGGACAGGGGCAAGTTGAGGGCTCACTCACGTGCAGCGCCGCAAGTCAGGGTCATCTACCTGGCCACACAGGCCCAGTCCCAGCTGGCAGCACTCCTCAGCCAGGGGCTTCATGGGATCCCCAACTGCTCGGGCCAGCACCCCTAGCGTCTCTGTGGCAACAAGGACTTGGTTAGCTCTGGGATATGGAACTGGGCCAGAAGTGTGCAGTGCCAAGGCCTGGTGGATCAAAGGTGGCACCTAGGGTGGAGGGTGATTCAGGAATCCCACCTACTCTGGTTTAGTGTCGGGAGTACCTTCTTTGATAAGAAGGAGGACACCTGTGCTCCCCTGGGGAACTGCTGTCTGTGAACAGGTGAGCATCAGCCCTTCCCTGGCCCTGGGAATACTGCCTGGGAACCCTTACTCACCCAGGCTCTGGATCCGCACAGGCTGAAGGTCCTCCTGGCCTGTCAACAGGAACTCCCGCAGGTGCTCCATAATGGTGGGGAAGTAGGGAAGCAGGGAGGCCTGAGCAGCCGTGGCTGCAGGATGGAAGCACAGAATCAGGGGCCAGGATCACCTGCCACAGGCTCTCTGGGTGAACCCGTGCCCTTGCCTCTGGCTACTTTCTTCTCACCAATGGCACCCAGGGCGCTCACAGCCAGCTCCTTGGCCCGGGAGCTGCTGGGGTTCCTCAGAGGCTGCAGCACACACTCCATCAACTCCAGAAGGTACGGCTGCACCTTAGGCCCTGTGAGAAAGGGCCTTCTCTACCAACCAACCCAGGTCTCCTACCCTCTGGGGGGCCACTTCCTTCTAGGTGATCCTCTCTGTGGCCCCACTACATCCCTCTCCCCATTGCAGACAGTTCAGGATGCGCCTTGCAGCCAAAGCTACAGTCACGTCCCCTTCCTTGCACCCCCAACTGCCATCACTACCTAGATTCTCCACGAAATTCTCCAGGGCATAGCAGGCCTTGGCCAGGTGGTGTGTGTGCCCAGGAGGCACTGACTTCAGGTAGGCGAGGAGCAGTGGCATCACCTCCCCTGAATAGCTGCTGATATGGGGCTAGAAAAAGAGTGAAGGGGCCCTGAGTCAACCTGACCACAGGGCACACACCTACATGCTAATGGCAGCAGGAATGCCTGAAGATTTGAGTTGAGATGAGTATCTGGGATGGGTGGGCACTCTGAAATGGTGGCTGCCCACATTCAACCTTCCTGACCTGTAGGTTCTCTGAGAACTGTCCCAGGGCAAAGAGAGCGGCACTGCGCACGACTTGCGATGGGTCCTCCAGGCCCTTGCACACAATTTGCAGCAGTGGGGGCAGCAATCTGGATGGAGCAGGACAAGATGACACAGTCTGAAGGCAGGACCCAAGAGCACTAGGCTGAGCCATTTTTTTGTTTTGTTTGTTTCCCCTGGGAAAACCAAGGCTTTCCCTGTTACCATATGGTAGATACCGCCTCCTTGTCACTACAGCTGGGGCAGCCATTAAACTTATCTTTCATACTTCTGAGAGTGGGAGGAAACGCTATTGACAATTGGGCTTGAATGACAGCATAGACCAGAACTACCATGGGCTGTGTGGTCCTCCTCCTCATGGCCCACCTTCTCTCCAGGACAGGGGAATAAACACCTTTGCCTGATGTGGTCACCAGCTCCATCAGACAGCACAGCCAGCACCAGGAGCCCAGCCTTGCGCTGGTATGGGCTCTGACTCCGCAAGGCCTCTTCCAGCATGGGCATCTAGGGGAACAGGAGGAACTCTCCTGAGATGCTGTTATGAGCCTGCCTATTCCTGGGGCAACAGACCCTCTATACCTACCAGGACCCAAAGGCCCTCAGCCTCAGGAATGCAGGCCGACCTGGGCATAGGGGTATCAGAAGGACAGAGCCACACTTACTAGAAGGGGACAGAGCTTCTCAGGGGGCAAATGCAGCGCCAGCATGTCCACAACCTATAAAAAGATAGATTTTGCTGGCTCCATCTCTGCCCTACAACTACTACCTAACACCCTGCCTGCCACCCCACCACCCCCATCCCACATCCCACCTGTACAGCAAAGTGCTTGGGAGTCTCCCCCACCAGCCCAATTTCCAGCTCTTCCTCCTCCAAATCCTGATCCTCAGGATCCAGCTGGCCTACAGGGGGCTCGGCAGCCATAATGGGGAAAAGGGTGTGCAACAAGGGTGGCAGGAGACGGTTCTTCAGCAAGGCCTTGAGAGGGAGGGTAGAATAGTGTCTCAGACTCTGCTCCCAAGATGGACTCATATTAAAAATTCCTGCCTTCCATGCCACAAAGGGGCCAGCAGGAGATTGCAGATCTCTAAGCCAGAAGCTGCGGTGTGGCCACACCAAATCTCAAATATCTTGGTTATGGTACTTTAGATACTTTAAGATGGACAGAAAGCCCCAGGAGTGAGAGGAGGGATGGAGATTTGGGGGCAGTGGGGGTGGTGGTGGTGGTGACATGCACCGCAGGATACTCACCTTGCTCTTGACTTTGATTAAGAAAGTGAGGCAGCAGAGAATACGCACACGTATCGTATCACCCAGGGACACGTTGCTAGCCACCTGCCCAGAGACTAACTTGAATCAGAGACAAGCAAGGAAACTCCCAGTAGGAGAGGGGCAGCAGGGGCAATGCCCACCCCAGGCTCACCTCCAGGAAGAAGGCAAGGACCTCAGAGAGGTGGGAGGTGATGATGGGCACGTGTGACTCCAGCAATTCATCCAGAGCCTCCACAGCCTCACAGGCCTTTGCCTGCCAGAGACACAAATCTTAGGGTTACACTCTTCTTCAGTAGACCAGCTGGATGCTCCTGCATGCTCCTTCCAACACAGCTATTGCCCAAATGTCCTCACCTCATCTACAGGGATCAGAATCTGCACTGCCACGATGACTTTGGGTACCAACATCCGTGCATGAGGCTACAGGACAGAAGGCATTATGCAACCTCATCTCAGACCCCAGAAGCTAACAGCTTCCTTGAAGCCTTTACATAGGAGGATCCCAGACACAGCCACCCACAGTATCCACCCTCAGTTGTCAGGAAGGACAAAAAGCAAGAGAAGAAGCGGACATAGTTCTGCATCTTGTGAGGGTGAGGACATGAAGGCCCAAGGACAGGGAGCCAGGGAAGCTGCGGGGCCACGTCTCACCACATCATCAGTGTCGAGATAAGGAGCCATGGTGGTCAGAGTGCGCAGGGAGTAGAAGAGGAGCCCAGGAGAGCCCACCTCACCAAGGGTCTCATTCAGAAGCTGAAGAAGCTCTTGGTGGTGAGGTTGGAAGGCTTCAGGTCGGGAGGTCACTATAACACTTAGCAGCAAAAGCCCCATCTGTCCAGGTGTGGGGATAAGAGGGAAAACCTTACATGGTCTGTCTGGCCTCTCAGTCCCTACCTCCCACCAACCATTTGATAGTACCTCTCTTTCTGGGATATGGGGGCTGTGGGTACTGTGCTGAAGAAGCTGCATGAGCTGAGGCCAGGCCTCCAGGCCTTCCTTTCGAAAAATGGTGGCTGAGAGCTGAGCCAGGCTAAGGCTCACAGAATGCCTGCAAACAGGAGAGATTCACCCCACCCAAATCCCCCTCCTTGGCCCTGCCCTATAGGGTGGCCAGGACAGAAACCTCCAGGTGTGGGCATAGGGCTTTTGCCAAGTTGGGATGCATAAGACAGCAGCTCAGAGAGACTAACCGCTCAGAGAGACCAACAGCAATGTGGGTATGTAACCTGGTGAGTTTGGCCTCACTCAGACTAAATTTCAGTTTCATATCTCTGACTCGGGTTTAGCAGAGCATCACAGACCATTCTTAAGAACTATAGTCTTCAACAGTCTCAGAATTGTGGCTCCACCCTTGGTCTAGAAGTGAAGTCCCTGCTCCCCAAGTCCCTGCCTGGAGTTGAAAAAGAAGTCAGAAACCCAGAGGGGGGGAATCTCAGCCTGGAGTCACTTAGGATCCCAGAATAAGAGGGGTAAATACTTACTCTGTTTCTCTCTGAAGGGCCGTCAGGACCAGGGACTTGAGCCTGGAACACAGGTGGCAGATGTTTGGTACTCAGCCTGCGCGAGTGCCGCCTCAGCCAACCCCGCCCCGGCCCCGCCCACCTCTCCTGAGGCTCTGGTGCGAGCCGTCGCCAGAGGCTGTTCAGTCGTCTGCGAATCAGCAGGGCCGCAAACTGGCGGATCTGCGAAGACAGAAAGCAGGCAGGTGAGGGTTGGCGCCGGATGTGTACCAGGCGGGCCGCAGCAGGCAGGAGCTGCTGGGGCTTGACCGGTGGCGTTCGATGGGAAGCTCAGCGGGAAGGAGTCAGCCTCACCTGAGGGTCGGCTGCCGAGGCCAGAAGGTCGCACAGTGCGGACAGAGCGGCGGGGTCCCGAAGAGCGATCTGGAGCTGCTCAGTGGCCTGGAGGGAGTCTGGAGGTCACAGTTAGGCCTTTACCACAGCCTCCCGCCTGCCCCAGCCCGGTCCCGCTTGCCCCGTACCCGGCGGATGCGCTCGGTGTCCGGCAGCAGCAGCTCCCACAGGATCTGCTCCAGGCCGGCGGGTTCCATAGCAGCAGCGGAGCCAACGCTCCCCGGCCGGACAGCGGGTGGAAGGGACAACACGTGGAGGCTCCGAAACCCACTTCCGGCGGAAGGGGCGTTGCTCCGCGCGCCGGCCGTCCCCAGGGTAATTCAGCGATCTTCCCATTTCCGTTGGGCTTGAGCGCCGGCTGAACCGCGAAATAAAGCTCTGGTAATGTAGGTTCCCAAGCTCCGTGGGGCGCTCGAGTTGCGTGCGTTCCGCAGCCGACCCGGTTTTCTAAGGAACAATGCCCTTAACGGCAGGGTTTGTGTTCCTATATCCAGACCAAACCCTCCAACTACAGGATCTTTTTCTTAATAAATTTTATTTTGACAATTGTAAAAAGAAAAATCTGGACCAAAACTAAAGGCAACTTAAAAAGTTCAAATATATACTCCTTACGTAATAGAGATTTAGAATTTCCAGGCCTTCTCAGGGGAAGAGAGGCCCAAAGGGCAAAGGGGAAGGCAGCAATGCCATAACATAATTCTGTCAAATATAAGAGACGTTGGTAAGAGAGATCAGTGGGCCTCTGCGCAGGAGGAAAGGGAGAGAAGGGCAATAGTTTTGCCACCCAGAATTCAGTCCATCTTGAGGTTAACATAGATATAACGGATGAACTTTAGGGAAGAAAAAAAGGAGATGGTGCCCAGCATGAGGAAGAAGACATAACCAGTTAGTAAGGAGTAGCCAAAGAACTCTACTGTCTGTACTGCCCCTGACATATTAGAGCGCCGGGCATAGTAGAAAACTGAGTAGAGGAAGATGAAGAGTCCAGTGGAGCCAACACTCAGTACAGATCGCCACCACCAGCGGTAATCCTCCCCAGACAACTGGAAGTAGGTGAGAGCAATGGAGATGCAAGCCCCCACACTCAGCAGGATGGCAAAGACAAAGAAGAGGATGCCGTACAAAGTATACTGTTCCCGACCCCATACTGTGGCAAAGATGTAGTACAGCTCCACAGAGATGGCACTGTGAAAAGAAGAGACGATAGTCAGCATTAAATGACTGCACTGTGTATAGTCAGCATTAAAGGACTGCACTGCCAGCACAGTGGTCAGACCCAATCCAGTGACCACCCCTCCAAATTACTAGGTCACTGGAAAGTGGATCCACTCCACTCCCTAGGTTCATGGGGATTCTTTTACCTATGATTAGCTGCTCTTGTTTCAAGAACATCTTCCTTGATAGGTTGAGAGCAGGGATCTTGTCTGTTTTATTTTTCCCTGTATTATCTGCCTGGCACTATAAGTACTCAACAAAACGGATGAGCATTCAAATGGGTACCCACATGGTGCCTATGGACACTAAAGTAAAAATTCAGGAAGGTGAAAGGATCAATGTCTCTGGAGAGCTTTACAAATGAGACACTCATATTTGAACTGATTCAAACTCAGTCCTGCTTGGAGAAAGGAGGAACCATTTAATGAGCTCTTAACGGCACAGGTGAACCAGGGATTATCACTGACTTTGAGTTAGGCTGTGGGGTGAGTGGGGCAAGGAAAAGTTAAAGTCAGGAACCTGAGAGTGATGACCGTGGAATAAAAGGAGGATACCTGAAAGGCAGGAAGCCTCCAACAGTCATGTGGATGAGAGTAGACTTGTACCAGGGCTGGGGTGGGATTTCCCGGGCGATGTTCTTTGTGCGACAAGGTGCCTCAAAGGGGCTAGCGTTGTTCTTCCCAAAGATGCCTCCAATGACAGTGAGAGGAAAGCCCACCAGCAGCCAGACTGTCAGAAGCAGCAGGATGGTTGTGGCTGGCAGAGCCTGTGTCGAACCATTGGCCCAGTGCACTGAATTCACCACACTCCATGTCAGGAAGAAAGGCACTGCAGGGATGGGCCCCCAGAAGGAGGGTCAGCACTAGGAGCTACATCCCTGGGGGCACCCATTCAGACTGGACCTGAAGGGGAGAGGGACGAAACATCTGCTCCCAGGACAACCACTCTTTCCACCCTTTCTGTGTCCTGTTTTGCCTGTTTCTTTTAACCAACACCACCTCCCCTTTTCATTAAGGATCAAGGCAGTTGTTTCATAAAGATCTAAGAGCAATGCAGATCCACATGCCTCCAGGGGCCTGTCCTGCTGTAGCATCAATGACTTTAAGCAGGAGACATTTCTTTGAATTAGGACCCTGTTTTCAGAAAGACCTGGCTTAAACAAATGTGGAAAATAAACCACTTAGGATGGGAACATGGAACGTTCACAATGCAGGCTACCACTGCCTGAAAGGACAAGCTGTCTTGAAAGGCTAGAGTGGGGTAGCTTACTTCCAAAATAAAAAAACATCAAAAAGTATTAAAACATAAATTCAAGAAAGAGTGTTAATACAGTGTAATGGTTGGGAGTAAAGGCTCTAGAATCAATCTGCCTGGGTCTGAAACCTAGTTCACTACTACTTGGAAGTGTGTAATCTTGGGCAAGTTTCTTAACCATCCTGAAGTTCAATATCCTCCATCTGCAACATGGACACAGTTATTACCTACTTCCCAGAGTCACTGTGAGGGTCAAATGAGAGGAAGGCATGGCAAGTGCTTGCCATGCTGCCTAGGACACTTTAAGGGCTTAATTTTTAACTATACAAGAGATATACTTTGTCTTTTGAGTGGTTTTATTATTGTTGATCTTGCCTCTTTGCATTCCCTTAAAGCCTTACTCTGATTCTGTCCCAGGTTCTGTGATACAGTCTAAGTTCCTAAGTCAGCCCAACAGGGAAAGGACAGTCCTTACCAGAGAAGAGACTGGTGGTGAGAATGATGTTCCACACCCAACGCTCGCCTCCAATCTGCCGGTAGAAGTGGCTGGACACATAGCCAGAGATGCAGCAAGTCAGGGCATACAACAAGATGGCTGCTGAGTTAATGGCTCCATGATGGTGTACATTGAACATGCCCAGCAGTGCCATGACAATAATGCCTGCAGGATAGTAGTGAAAAGCCTGAATTAGGGCTCACCTGTCCCTCTGGCAATTTCGGAGGAATCAGCCCCCTTTCTCCCAGACCCAGGGCCTCCAGCAAAACATTATCTCCCAGTTCTGTTGTCCAGAAAACCCACAAGAGAATTTACACATCCATGCTAGAGCTATCCCACCCCTTAGGTCTGCCCCTCACCTTGGACAGAAGAGAACATCTGAAGATCTTTTCTGAACAAACCACTTGCTTCGTTCTACCCCTTGAGAGAAATCCCTGATTAATTTTTATCACCTCACCAGTGCCAAGGGCCAGGAACTGGGCACCCACACCAAGCACAGAACAGAGCAGACCACGGCATGGAGGGAAGCGGAAGACATCTGTGTGGATAATTTTCCAGCCATTGTCACCTTGGTCAAAGTCATCACCAGAACCTGCAGAGGTTGTCTCTTCATCCAAGTTGTACCGAGCCAGGTCGTTACGAAGCACACGCATGAGAATGACAGCCACAAAACCCACCAGTAAAAAGACAAGCACCATGGAATTGATGATGGACAACCAATGGATTTCCAGTGTTCGGGGAAAGAAACCGCCATCATCACCACGGCGCCTGTCACTCCGACGCTCCACTGAAGTCTCAGACCAGCGCACACTGTAGGTGTGGGTGAGGCCCAGGAACTCATCAGGCTGTAACCCATCTAAGCTGTGGGGCTTGACATCCCGCACTGAGACATTGGCAAATATAATTCGATCTCCATGGAATTCTAGGTGGAAGTCCAAATGGGTCCAGAGTCCTATCTTGTGGCTGTGAGGCAGGAAGCCACTCTCCTCCATGTAGCCCACAAAGCCACGGATTGGCAAGTCATCCACTACAAATTCAAAGTAGTACAGTTCCTCGATGGCCTGGCGCAGCTGCTCCACCTACAAAGAGCAAGTCAGGAGTCAGACAAGGTCTCCCCAGGCATAGGGTTAGAGCAGGGTTTCTCAGCCTCAGCACTATGACATCTTGGGATGGATGATTCTTCGTGATGGGGGACTGTCCTGTGCATTGTAAGATCCCTGGCTTCTTCCCACCAGATGTCAGTAGCACCCCCCCAGTAGTGACAATAAAAAATTTATCCACACATTGCCAAATATTTCTTGGGAGACAAAATTGTCCCCTGTTGAGAACCACTGGGTTAGACCCTAGTATGTTGTTGGGATTTCCTAATAAAAGCAATATGACCTGACAGGGTTAAGGCCTAGAAAAAGGAGATGCCAGGTGTAAGGTCTGAAATAGACCAAGGTCAGCTACCCTAAGTAGGATTTGCTAAAGAAAAAAGTATGAAAGGAAAGATGAGGCAGAGTGTAAAGGAGCCAGTTGAGAAAGAGAAAGAAATGAGAGATAGGTATGGAAGGAAAAAACTACGTACGGGTGATATTTGGGACATTATTACCAACAGAAAAGCTTGGAGCCAGGAGCTCTGCAATTCACGACCCATGTAGTCTTGAAAAAGTCACTTCTGAGCAAGTATGTTTCTTTGTCAACTGAATTCAAATACCACCACCTGTCCTGCTACACATGGGATTGTAGTTAGAATCAAGTCAACTCATTTCCATAAAGGGGCTCTGAGAACCATAAATGTAAGGCACTGTTATTAGTCCCTGAGAAGGAAGGCTAAGTTCTAGCGAATGTAGAGAGGCTGACCTGTACAGAACTGAGCTGCATGTGGCACAGAATTCTCTTCTCCACATTCTCCCGAAAGCGGATCTCATACAAAGACTCAGCCATTCGGTCCCCATCCAGCACTTCACCCAGGCTAAGGCTTTTGTGACGTATCTTCTCAGGGCAGCAAACTGGAAGCTGGTAGTAGTGGTAAGTCTCCTGAGGGTTATGGTAGGGTCCCACTTTGTTCACATACAGAATGACGGGGTCTCCAGCTTTGTAATGTGCCACACCTTCCACCCCAGGCTCGTGGCCTGTGCCCAGCAGCAGCATCAGGAGTGGTAACCACTGGTAGCTCCAGCTTCCGGGGTGCCTTCGAACTGTCATCCTTAAGGCAATGGAACCTGTTGGGAGGAGTCCTGCGGTTGTGGAAATCAGGAATCAACTCATGACGCCCTAGGTCAGGCCCTTGAACTGGCGCCCAGTGGCTCCAAATCTTCCCTTTGGCCTCTCTGGCCCTCCCTCAGGAGGACACCTCCCGACCCCCACACCGCAGCATGTCTCCCTATGCATAAGACTGAAATCCTCTGCTCTCTAGTCCTCCTACCACCACTCCCCCCGCGACGCCCACGCCCACGCCCACGCCACAACCTATCTGCTCCGGACTTCCCGCGCGCCGGGGCGTTCCCATGGCAACGCCAAGCGGCCTCGCACCCCCCAAGCACCTTCCCGCCGCAGCCCTGGGGGGCCTCACCGCGCGGAAAGGGCTGGCCGAGGCGGTGCCAGTGGCCTCTGCAGCCCCGTAGCTGCCTCTGGGCTCCTGCCAGGGTCTCCCCCAGAGCGGCGCGCAAGCGGCGGTCTGGACAGGACCCGACGACCGACCTCCAGGGGGTTGGCCGCCGCTGTGCCTGATCGCAGCGGCTGCGGTCACCCCACGCGGAACACCACTCTCGGCTCAGTTAACGACTCCTCGACGAGCTTTCCGCAGCCGGAGGCCTGGCTCAGCTCTGGTGACCCTGTAAGGCTCAGCTAACCCGTCTCCCGGCGGGGGACCCTCCCGGCGATCGGGAGAGCAGCCCAGGACACGTCAGTCTTACCACTTCCGCCCTTACCCGCGGGGACCTCAGCCCGGCGGAAAACTAGTTGCTGGAGCCTAGAGGGGACCACGCCTCCGCTGCTGCGGCAGCTGGACCGGTGATTTCCTCCCGAGGGAGACTATCGGCTGAGGCCTGGCAACGAGGATGCAGATGCCCCTTCGGAGTAAGAGTCGCTGCTGGGCCGCCCGCCCGTCCCCGGGAAAACTTGGGGTACTAGCGGAGACAGAGCGGTGCCCGCGGCGTGAGCCCAGTGACTGGCCAGGACACTGAGCCTGGGCAGTGGCTGGGCCTTACACCTAGTGTTTGCGGGCGGAACCGAAGGGACTCGCACTGACTGCTGAGGCCGAGCTGAGAGGCGGTTCATGGCCCCCAACCCTCATGGACGGGTGAGGCGTTGGATGTCGCTTTGCCAGGGACATTGCAAAGGTACTGGAGTTTGGATCTCACCTCACTGCTTCTCTCCTACTTGTGAATGGTCCGCCAAAAAATAAATATATAAATAAGAATGCTTTCTTTCCTGAGGCCGTACTGGAGACCTCCCTGTTTATATAATGACAGTCTCAATGTACGACGGCAGACAAGCCTGAGCCAAGTCTGTTAAGGAGGCACACAGAGATAGGGTGTCGCCCTTTTAGCCTGTGAGCTGGGCAGACGGACAGTTATTGTTACTTGCAGGTAAAGCATCTTGCCATATATTCGTTTCTTTTCATGTTTTTATTATCTCTGTGCATAAATTCTCTTAATTTCGTATTGCAGATTTTTCTGAAAAGGTTTACCCTTGTCTGTGTCAGCTATTTTTTTTTTGGTATCATTAATCTACAATTACATGAGGAACATTATGTTTACTAGACTCCCCCCATCACCAAGTCCCCCCCCCCACATACCCTATCACAGTCTCACTGTCCATCAGCGTAGTAAGATGCTGTAGAGTCACTACTTGTCTTCTCTGTTGCACAGCCCTCCCCGTGCCACACCCCCTACATTATACATGCTAATCGTAATGCCCCCTTTCTTCCCCCCCAACCCCTTATCCATTCCTTCACACCTGTCCTCCCCAGTCCCTTTCCCTTTGGTAACTGTTAGTCCATTCTTGGGTTCTGTGATTCTGCTGCTGTTTTGTTCCCTCAGTTTTTGCTTTGTTCTTATACTCCACATATGAGTGAAATCGTTTGGTACTTGTCTTTCTCCGCCTGGCTTATTTCACTGAGCATAATACCCTCTAGCTCCATCCATGTTGTTGCAAATGGTAGGATTTGTTTTCTTCTTATGGCTGAATAGTATTCCATTGTGTATATGTACCACATCTTCTTTATCCATTCATCTACTGATGGACACTTAGGTTGCTTCCATGTCTTGGCTATTGTAAATAGTGCTGCGATAAACATAGGGGTGCATCTGTCTTTTTCAAACTGGAGTGCTGCATTCTTAGGGTAAATTCCTAGAAGTGGAATTCCTGGGTCAAATGGTATGTCTATTTTGAGCTTTTTGAGGAACCTCCATACTGCTTTCCACAGTGGTTGAACTAATTTACATTCCCACCAGCAGTGTAGGTGGGTTCCCCTTTCTCCACAACCTCGCCAACATTTGTTGTTGTCTGTCTTTTGGATGGTGGGGATCCTTATTGGTGTGAGGTGATATCTCATTGTGATTTAATTTGCATTTCTCTGATGACTAGCAGTGTGGAGCATCTTTTCATGTGTCTGTTGACCATCAGAATTTCTTCTTTGGAGAAATGTCTGTTCATCTCCTCTGCCCATTTTTTAATATGATTATTTGCTTTTTGTTTGTTAAGGTGCATGAGCTCTTTATATATTTTGGATGTCAACCCTTTATCGGATCTCATTTATGAATATATTCTCCCATACTGTAGGATGCCTTTTTGTTCTATTGGTGGTGTCCTTTGCTGTACAGAAGCTTTTTAGTTTGATATAGTCCCACTTGTTCATTTTTGCTTTTGTTTCCCTTGCCCGGGGAGATATGTTCATGAAGAAGTCGCTCATGTTTATGTCCAAGAGATTTTTGTGTATGTTTTTTTCTAAGAGTTTTATGGTTTCATGACTTACATTCAGGTCTTCGATCCATTTCGAATTTACTTTTGTGTATGGGGTTAGACAATGATTGTGTCAACTATTTAAGGGGATCTGCCATTAGGGTAAATCAGACCCAGGGCATATTGACTTTCGTTTGGTCATTTGGTAACAACATGTAAGGAAGCTGACTTTTAAGAGTCCCTCACCCAGGGAAAGAAGTAGGACAGCGGAAAATCACAAGTGACTTCTGGCCTGAAAAGCCCATTTACCCACTTTTACCCTTTCTGAGCCAGCCTTCCTCCTTACAGGAGGAAGTAAGGTTCCAGACTGTAGGGAACTGAGTTTTTAAGACAAACGATTTTGTAATTAGAAACTTAGGGGAAAAAAAATTACTTAAGAGTGGCTTTAGAATAGTCCTTAAGTGACAAGTACTTGGTCTCTAAAGCCAAAAACATAAGCGTTTTTCTCAATCCCCCTTGCCCCCCCCCAGATTGGTACCACCAAGCACTCTCTGCTTACTTCCTGAATATCTCCCAAATGCTTGTCTTCTGTGGCTGCCTTGGTTCAGGCCCCATCCTCTCATTTAAATTACCATGACAGCCACTTTGCTAGTCTCATCCCCCTTGGATCTATTTTTCACACTGTTGCTGCAAGGATTCCTTCCTTCCTTTTCCTTATTATTTCCTTCCTTCCTTCCTTGTCATATTTCCTTCCTGCCTTATTTCCTGCAAGGGTGGTTCTCAAATCTTGGTGTGAATCAAATTCAGCCAGAAACTTATTAAAAACATGGATACCTGGGTTCCACCAAATCAGGATCTTAGGGAAGGGGGTGATTGGGCATCTGTATTTTTTTTTTTTTTGAGAGGGCATCTCTCACATTTATTGATCAAATGGTTGTTAACAACAATAAAATTCTGTATAGGGGACTCAATGCACAATCATTAATCAACCCCAAGCCTAGTTCTCAACAGTCTCCAATCTTCTGAAGCATAACGAACAAGTTCTTACATGGTGAACAAATTCTTACATAGTGAGTGAGTTCTTACATGGTGAACAGTGCAAGGGCAGTCATCACAGAAACTTTCGGTTTTGATCACACATTATTAACTATAAACAATCAGGTCAAATATGAATATTCGTTTGATTTTTATACTTGATTTATATGTGAATCCCACATTTCTCCCTTAATGATTATTATTTTTTTATTTTTAATAAAATGCTGAAGTGGTAGGTAGATGCAAGATAAAGGTAGAAAACAGTTTAGTGCTGTATGAGGGCAAATGTAGTTGATCAGGTGTGCGCCTATAGACTAAGTATTAATCGAAGCTAGACAAGGGCAACAAAACATCCACGGATGCAGAAGATTTCTCTCAAAACAGGGGGGGTGGGGTTCTAAGCCTCACCTGTGTTGATCCCCAATTTCTCACCTGATGGCCCCTCTGTGACTGTGCCTGTCTTAGGTTGTTCCTCCCTTGAGGAATCTTACCCGTCTCTGGCTAACCAGTCATCTTCCGGAGCCATACAGGGAAATGTAAAGTTGGTAAGTGAGAGAGAAGCAATATTGTTTGAAAAGGTTAGCTTTTTACTTCTTGGTAGATTTAAGGGCATCCGTATTTTTTAACAAGTTCTGATTTTGATACACATCAAAATCTGACTATGAGTACATAGGATAAACAGAAAAACACTTGGCATATGAGGCCTCTCAGATCTGGGTCTTAATTACTTCTCCAGGTACATTCCCTTTCTTGAACCCAATTGTGTATTCAGATTGAAATTTTCAATGTCATGTTCTCTCAAGCCTGCAAGCCTCATCTAGTTCCTTCTGCTTAGACTGCCCAATCTACCATTCACTACTTAATTGCTTGGAGACTTTTTTTTAAACAGTGCAAATGACCTTCTCTATAAAGCCTTCACTTATATCTCCTTCCAATCTTTGTTTGTAGTGGTTTATCTCACTCTGTTATTTTACTTAGGTGTCTGTCTCCCTTGCTAACTCCTCACAGGAAGGTTATAGTTTATCCATCTTGGTATCTTCAGGACTTTAGCAGTGCATTTGTCTATAGTAGGCAACTTAACACACATGCCTCGAGTGAACTGGTTTAGCCCCTGTTCAGAGCTGCCACCAAGCTGCCTATCCAGGGACTAGCTATCTAGCCAGAGAAGCAGAACATGGCTAGGGCTGGTGGGCCTCCTTACGATGGTGTGCCCTGGACAACTGCTTCTCGTGATAGATTGAGGATGTAGATCTGGCTTCCAACAAGATTTTGGGACCATCCTTCTAGCAAGATCAGCTACCAATAAATGGGAATTTACCAGTATTCTATGGCATAATCTGTTGTTGAAGAAGTTTTGTTTTGGAAGATGGAAGATACAAGAAATCTGATTCTCCCTGTTTTTTCCTCCAAATGCCACCCCCACCCCATCCCTATACCCACACACATACACACAATTTTAAACCCAGATAACCCCTCTATGACCCACAACCTCTTGTCCTTGTCATTCCCATCCAACTTGTTCTTCCAATTCACTGCAACCCCTCCCCCTGAGCTTTTGTCTTCTTTTTTAGCTTGGATTCCACCTTCCATCATTTCACATTCTTGCTTGTGTTCTTGATGCCTCTCTCCCATATGTCATTACAGCTGCCAAGTGAAACCTTTGTCTTGGGTAAGTTCATCTGTCAGTATTCAAGCACCTATATCTAGGATTCTAAAATAATATCAAACTATACATTAACATCCTGTGTTTATAAACTATGTTCAGCTTCAAAGCTGCCCAGTGATCCTGCTCATTTTCCAAATCATCCCTCTTCCATTCCCTACAATCTATTCTTCTCAAACTTCTGACTTCATCTCCCTCTTCTGATCAGTTAATCTCCTTTATAGCCTAGTAGGAGGTGCAAGGAAGAAAAGCAATTACAGACCTATGTTAGGTGCTATGACAGAGAAAGTATCAGGGCTGGGGAGCACCCTGGAGGGGGGATATCAATCCAGTTTGGGTTTGAGCATTCAATAAAGGCTGTCTTAAAGCCACTTATAAGCTAAGTCCTGAAGGGAGAGTAGTTCATCAGGACTGAGGGAAAAATGAAGGAAAAACAATTCTGTTTGGCTGCAGCACTGCACATTGTTAAAATAAAAAAAGAGAAGCAGGGCTGAATCTTGAAGTCATATAAAGGAATTTGGACTTGATCCTGAGGAGAATGGAAACACATTGAATTGTTTTAAATGGGAATAAAACCAGATTTACACTTTACACTTCAGGGTGAACAGACTGGAGGGGAGCAGAAAACCTGCTAGAGCAATTAAATGATGGAGGTTGAACTAAGATAGTGGGAGCAGACTTGGAAAACCTTGAATGTATTGCTAGAGAATTAGAAGAAACAGATTTGGTGACAGATGGGATGTAGGGCCAGAGGCAGAAAGAAGGGTCTGGAATGACATCTGAGTGTCTCAGTTGAGGGCAACTAGTATAGAACTTACAGAAAGAGGAAGTTTGGGGGAAGAAAATAAGTTCAGTTTTGGACACAGTGAATTTAAAGTGCCTGGGGAAGACATTCCTATATAATGTCTGGTGAGCAATTGATGCTGGATCTGGAATTCCAGATATCTGGGAAGGAGATAAGATTAGGAGTAGTCAACATCAATTATAATGATTAGTTTTGGGAGTGGATGAGATCCTTAAGGAACATGTGAAGGCCTGTGATGGAAGCCTCAGGATATGATTAAGAGATGGATGGAGGAAGATGAGGCTCCAATAGAGTCTGAGGAATGGCTAGAGGGATGGGAGAAAAACTAGGAGTTCAGGGTCATGGAAGGCAAGATAATGCATTTCAAGGTTAAGAGGTGGAGTCTACATCCTTTCATGAGTGATCCTTTTAACTTTGTAGCTGTCTTTGCTCATGTAAAGGTAGGGAAGTGATGCTTTGTGACTTCAGACCCTAGGCCTCAGCCGGATTATCTCAAACTTCCTCTTGAATTCAGTGCCATTATGAGGGAACTCAGGATAGTCTGCTGGATAATCATAACATATGCAGCAGAAACAAACACATCCCAGCCGAGACCATCAGATGAACCATCCAACGAAGCCCAGCTGAACATGAGTTTGAAAAAAAAAGGTTGTCTTAACCCCCCAAATGCATTTTAAGGTTTAGATTCCTTAGAATATGTTTCTACAACACACTGCAATTCTCTGCAATAGTCTCACACTCAGGTGTTTCTCATTCTGTATAGAATCTAGGAGCATAGGGTCTCTGTTGGCCTTCCTGGTTACTTTATCCCAGTACTCAGCACACTTCCTGGGACACAATAGGTCTCAATAAACATGAATGGTCGGAGGGACCAGATTTATAGAGGAAGTCTCACCAGATCACAGAAGTTGTCTCCAGGAATATTTCCCAAAGTGTGTATCATTCTCAAGGCTTGTGGCCAATGGCAGAAGGTGAATTGTGATGTGTGTGGAACATGGAACCTTGGGGAGTTCCGTAACCAAGAGGAGAGAAAAGAAACAACCAGTGGGGACAAAAAGAACTGCTTTCCCCTTCTTCCTCCTCCAAGTTCCTAGTGGACAGCTGAGCCCAGCATCCCAGACTTGGGTGACTACACAGGCAAGCATTCAAAGACAACTTCACTTGAGTACCCTAACCCTCTGCAGCTCAAGGTGCTGGCTTTCTGAGCAGACTAGAGGCTTTTAAGTAGCAAAGCTCCCTGCTCTCAGTACCCAGCATCATGGGGAAGGGAGACACCTTGGAGGCAGCACCACCCACCTTGGCCTACCACTCTGTCATGGAGGAGTATGTTACGAAGTGGGCAAGGTCATTGGCAATGGCTCCTATGGCACGGTGTATGAGGCTTACTACACCAAGCAGAAGGTCATGGTGGCTGTCAAGATTATCTCAAAGAAGAAGGCCTCAGAGGACTATCTTAACAAGTTCCTGTCCAGTGAGATACAGGTTGGAAAGGGGGCTGGAAGGGGAAATGGCACCAAGCTGCTTAAGGCTTCTCAGAGGGTTATGATTAGGAGGGGGTGGGTTCAGAAACCCACAGACCAGAACTAAATGTTTCACTAAACAGCTAGGGAAATCACTTGATGTAAATTCAATCTCTTTACACCCACCCACTCATCTCCAGTCTCTCAAAAAGTGAAAGTGCAAAGCACAGGGTTTGCCCACATGCCACCAGCTCTCTGGGGTTTGATGGTGTTGCAAAGTTCTAAGTAGCAGTGGGAGGGCAGGAGGGCTGGCAGCACAACCAGGGCTCTTCCTTCCTGGGTTTGATGCGTCCCTTTTCCGGAGCCAGGTAATTAAGGTCCTGCGGCACAAGTACCTCATCAACTTCTACCAGGCCATTGAGACCACATCCTGAGTGTACATCATTCTGGAGCTGACTCAGGGTGGTGACATCCTTGAATGGATCCAGCGCTATGGGGCCTGCTCTGAGCCCCTTGCTGGCAAGTGGTTCTCCCAGATGACCCTGGGCATCGCCTACTTGCACAGCAAGGGCATTGTGTACCGGTGAGGGTGCCACCTAGACTGGGGCCTTTGGGCTCATAAGGGGATTTGAATGCACATTTCCCATTTTCAGCCCTCTTTTTTCCTGCCTTGACTTCCCTCCTCAGTATCCAGGCCCATTGATTCACTCTTTTAATCATCTGGTCAAGAATATTTGTTTAGTATCCACTGTGTGCATTTTGTGAAATACAATGGTGAGCTCCCAGTGGACCTCAGGTACCATACTCTCATCTTTGGGCTCTGCTCACAACTCCATGGCTTTCCTTCCTCCTTGCCTTGTGTCCTCATAGTGGCATCTCTCCCAGTTGGCCTTTCCTCATCTCTACCTCTGACCCCTGGCCCTTCAGCTCCCGGTCTAATACTAAACCCTCTTCCCAGCCTGACCCCCAGCCTTTGCTGTTGCTGGACAAGTGGGAGAATGTGAAGATATCGGACTTTGGTTTTGCCAAGATGGTGCCTTCTAACCAGTCTGTGTGCAGTAGCCCTTCCTACCGCCAAGTGAACTGCTTTACCCACCTCAGCCAGACTTACTGTGGCAGCTTTGCTTATGCCTGCCCGGAGATCTTGCTAAGCTTGCCCTACACCCTTTCCTGTCCGATACCTGGAGTATGGGCATCATCCTCTACACCCTGGTGGTTGCCCATTTGCCCTCTGATGACTCCAATCTCAAGAAGCTGCTGAGAGAGACTCAGAAGGAGGTCACATTTCCATCTAACCACTCCGTTTCCCAGGAGTGCAACGTGCTGGCTTCCCCAGGAGGGCTGAGGCCTCAGGGATGATCTACAGGGAGGGAAGACCCAACCTTGGGGAAGGCTCTCACCTCAACCGGTCATCTTACACTCCAGCTCCTGCCTTAGTATAGGGGGAGGACTTAAAGGGCCAACCACAGGGCTCCACACCTTAGATGTGAGCAATAAGCAGGTTTCAGCCTCTACCTTTTTAGACCAGAAGGGGATTTTGCAAGAGATTCCAAGGAGGTAAATGCCTGGCCCTTCCCTCTGCCTCTCCTCCAGGAAGTTAAATGCCTGCTTTTGAGGATAAAAGCAGGGCCATACCCCCTTTCACCAGAGTGGTGTGATGGGCTATCCTGTGTCTGTCTTTCTTAGGTCCAACTGCTCACTGCCTGTGTGGCACAATGAGGGGCAAGCTCAGCCAAGACCTCTCTCCCCTCTGCCCTAGAACCTGGTCCTCCAGATGCTATGCCAAGCCACCAAGTGCGCCACCATCCTGGACATCAAGGATCCCTGGGTGCTCAAGTTCCAGCTTGAACAACCCACTCATGAGATAAGGCTGCTTGAGGCCATGTGCCAGCCTCCCAGCAACACTAACCATCATCAGCCCTTGGAAATCAATACCTGAGAGTGGCTGAGGGAGGGGGTCGAGAGAGGAGCAAAGCAGGAGGGTCTGGGGCTATGAAAATCTTTTTTACCAAAAATAAATCTAATTCTGATTTAGTTTTAATCCATTGGATTTCATTCCTTCCTCTAAGGAACCTTAGCAGGAAGCCCTGCTGAGGGTAAGAAGTGGGCTTCTGCTCAGATCCTGTAACCAGCCATCTGGACACTATTCAGTCAATACTGTAATTTAAATGTAGCTCCTATGTGGCTCAAGGGGGAGGGGGTGCTAGGTGAACACCCTCTTTGGGGAGGTTTCATGATTCTGGCAAATGCTCATGCTTTTACATCTCCTGGGTGCTCTCAATATTCAAGCAATGGGACAAAGGCCCTGGATGCTCTGTCTGGTCATGGCTCTGCCTCTGTCTGTAGTCCAAAGGGAGGGTATTGTTTGTTCTTTTATAAATTGGTATCAGGATGTGTGAAATATCTTGTTCCTTCTCCCTCCTCCAAATACCACCTTAACCATTATTGACATAATCCCAGCGAATCATGGCCCCTCACATTTGAACTAGACATAAAAGTGACAGTTCAAACCCAGCCTATTAACTATGGGTATGGATAAAGGAGAGCTACTTGCTTCTTTATCTCTGTATTCTCCCTCCCTTTGAAAATGGGTTTTGCAAAAGGAATATGGGTTGTAAATCACGGGGCTGTCTTGGCAGAGGCATGACTGGGGGAAAACAATGAGGGAAGACTCGGATAGTTCCACATGGTTCTAAGATAAATAATAGAGGGCAGTTTCCTCAACCTCAGCCTCAGGCAACTCCAGGACAAACCAACTTGAAAGATAAAACAGTATCTGCCAGGAACATACAGGTTAAGATATTGGAAACTCCCGTTTGTTCTATATCCCAATGCTCCTTCATTCCTCCCATTGTTATTCCTTGCTTGAGACAAAGGTCCAAGGACTAGGGGAAGAGTTTCAGGTGTGGATAAGGCAGTATAAGCACTAGGGTTCCATATGCCCAGTTTTATTCAGAACAAGGGCACTTTAACGGTTATCAAAGAGAAGGCAGCCCAAGGGCTGCTCCTGCACCAAGATCCTTCTTTGGAGTTGAACCACGGACGGGAGGGCAACAGACCCTTTTCTCAGGCAGGGTCATGCTATCACCCTCAGTAGGACCTCCCCAAAAAGGCTATGTTCCTTTCACTCAGCACTTGGCACTTAAGGCAAAGAGACCAACAAAGGCAGCATCAGGAAGACAAGCCCAGACTCATCAGGATACCCACTCAGCCAACTGCTTTAGTTCTTCTTCATCTTCATCCATTCTGGGAACTTTGGGGACAAGGATACCCAGAGAAAGAAAGAAGTGTTAAGGCCTCGGCAACTTTGAACCACTGCTGCTATCACACTCAGAGCCTGCTGAATTCTCTCTGCCTAGTAAAGAACCTAAAGTTGTGGGGCCTTCTGCTTGCTGGACTGCTGCTAATTCCCACTGCACCTTTGGGCAAATGAGAAAAAGGTGCCTCTTTCTCCCAGCATCTGCAGCCCTAAATCAGGATACACAGCTTGCTAGTGGAGCACAGGCTGGACTTCAATCTCACTCCCCTTTAGGCATGGGTCCTTATGCAGTCAACAACATGTGCAACTGTAGCAGCAGCCCTCTCTGCCTGGTTCCTTTGAGGCAAGAGGATGAGCAATAATCTTTCCCATACCTATCCCATCCTCTCAAGTGTTTGAGACAATACAACCCTGGGTACCTGGCCCTGCAGGCAGATGTGTAGAGGGTGCACTGGGAAGTTTGACTGGGAGTTCTTCCTCCTGGCCCACATTTCACTCCTGGGTCAATTCCTCCTGCTCCAGCTCCTCTAGCTCCTCCAACAGGTCATCTTGGATATAGGAAAATAAGACTGTTCAACACAAAAAGTTCTACTTCCAAAAACAAACCGCTTTTGGAGTTCCCCCTGAACTTGCCCCACGATTCTCTTGGGCATTCCTTCTGACTGGTCCCACGCTTTCTCCAATATTCCCTAAACCCTTAATCCCAATCACTCATCCACATCATCTCCAAAGCCTATAGGCTGAGAAATGGCATCCGAGATCTGTTGGGCCACCTCCTGTTGTTCTGTAATGTCAGCCATCATTCGTCCACCTTGTCAATATCCCTGAGAACGAGATATGTAGCCAAGAAATTAGGCAACAACTCCTCTGGATTTTCTCATCCAGCATGAATGAGGTCCCTCCTGCCTGCAGCCTCAGACTGATAAGTCCATGGCTTCCCAGGTAGAAGAGATTCCTGGAATATTGTAAAGAGGCAAGTCTGGGCTGAGCAATGGCAAGAAGCCACACTGGGGACAGGAAAGGCTACACTCCCTTCTCTTAAGAATCTTTAAAAATTAGGAAAAAAAAGATAAAAGATTATCTTTCCTTCCTAGAATGCCCCAGGCAGCAGAGAGATCTTGTAGGAAGCAAGGAGGCTGCTAGATCATAGGCATCTATACTGTAAATGCACATTCTCAGAGACTTTAAAATTCAAAGTACAATACCAAGCTCCTCTCCTGAGTGCCTGGGCCCCCTCGTCCCTTCTCCCCATACCCACATGTTCTGGTAGGCCTTCTTCATGCCTTGGGCAGCAAGCACCATGGTGCGAAGCACTTCTGCACTGGTGGCGGCATTCTCAATGGCCTCCCGCTGAAACTCCAGAGTTGATAGTGTCCTGTCGGTTTGTGCCAGCTGCTGTTCCAATCTTTTCTTCCTCCACAAAGCCTGTAGGGCAGCTGACCCAACCCACACCCTAAACGTCAGAGCCAGAAGCCCGCTTCCTACCTGGGCCCTCCCTCTTGACACCTTTCCCTCATTACCTCTCTTATTCTTAGTCCCATGCTTCTTTGCTGTTTGCAGCTTCTCCTGAATCTTTAGCTCCAGAAACTCCTGTTTCTTGATCAGTATCTTCTCCGTTTCCTTCAGTTTCTGTACTGCCTCTTCAGGGCTTGGCTCCTTCTCCTTCTTCCCTGGCGTCCAATGGAGCAGGCCCATTTTGTGTGAAGGAAAAACATTAGCTGCCAATCACTGAGTGCACAGTATATGTTAGGCATTTGACTGTTACTGTTAACCTTAAAATGACTCTCTACAATGAATATACTATTTTCCCTTTGCAAATGTAAAAACAGGTACAAAATGTTAATTTTTTTTCATGTGAAATCACAGCCAGTAACAGATTGAGCAGGAACTGAAATGTGGCAGCATGTCTTCCAGGTCCAGGACTCTCAATATTCCAACCTGCCTTTCAAGTCACTTCCAGTCATCATTATTATTGTTGTTGTTGTTATTTATTTTTTAGAGCAGTTTTAGGTTCACATTAAAACTGAGTGGATATAGATACAGAGATGTCCCATCTACCTCTGCACCTACACACACTGAGTCTCCCCATTATCACACCCTCCACCCCCACCAGAGTTCAGTCACTTTTTATAATCACTGTTCCACTTGCTGTCTCAGGAGATGCCCAAGGTCCTGACTTCACAGGAGCAAACTGAATGAAGCACAAGGAAAACAATGAAGCACTAGAGAAAAAAAAAACTGATCTCAATTTTCCCCTTCATCTTCTGCACCTCTAATAGTTAAAAAAAACAAAACCAAGAAACAAAAAACCCTTGATGTCCCTTGCCTGCTTAAAGTCCTTCCAGACTCTCTATTGCCTACAGGAGAAAATCTGAAACTTTTTAAACAACACATACAAAGTCCTCATGATCCAGCCCTTATTTAAGTCTTCATTCATACTTCCTTCTACTTTCCTCTTTCCCTTCAGCGCACACACAGTCACAGGGGCAGCCAGCACTTCTGTTTTCCCTAAACATACCAAACTTCTCCTTCTGTTCTGCACACATAGTTACCTCTTCCAGGAGCACATCAGCTCTCCACCGGGCATACTTTCCTTCCGGACCACGCCCGCCACAGCCCCCCTCCCATGCTGCTGTGTTCCTCTGGTTTTGGGGATCGTCTTCACCATGGAGTTGCTATACTACACTGTAAATGCCAGTTTTTGCTTGTATTCCCCAACTGGATAGGAGCTTCAAGAAGGCAATCCTTCATCACCTCAGATTCCCTGCTTCCCAGCACAGAATAAGCACCAGTGTTTTGAAAAGGAGTGGAGGACGCCGGCCGGAAACAGTGGGAGCCAGCAGCTGCCTCGCGCGCCACTGTATTCCCTCCCGGGCCTCGAGCTCTTCCCTCTGGGGTGGGGAAAGGAAGGCAGAGGGAGCGGCCAGGGTTTTCGGAACAGCGTGCCTCCTGGATGTCTTCCCCACTCGGGGCCGTGGTCCACCCCACCCTCTGCGGCCAGCACCTCCCAGTCAACCACTCTCATCCGGGCTCACCCCTCCCGAAGAGCCGGCCGAGACCACTCATCACGACCCTTGCCTCTCCCGCCCCCAGACGACTTTCAGCCCGCTTCCGCCTTGCTCCCGGTAGGGTGCCGTCTCATCACCCGAGGACCGGCCTCGGCCAATCCCTCGTTGGGGCACTGTGGCGACATCATCAACAGGCGTCAAAGGAGGCCACTTCTGCCACGTGACCCGAACCGACAGCCCGAAAGCTATGTGCTCCTCTTAAAGCGGCCTCTTCATATCCGACTATGTAAAAGGCAGTCCCACACCCGCCCAAAACTAAGTATGTTTTTCCTGCAAGGAAATGTGCAGGGCAATGCTCCCCACTACTCGGATCCAGTGAAAGCGGTCTTCATGCCCTTGGCAGAGCTCAGGAAAGGGGTAGAGCTCACACGGGGATCAAAGTCTTGTATTTGCCACAGTTTATAAGGCAGAACCTGATGCAGTCTAATGCCTCACACCGTGCTCTTGGCACCTAGGGAGAGTTCCACCACCAGTTCACACGCTACAAAAATTGAAACAACCCACACTGTGGGTGAGATCTCTCTGCCACACATAAATACATTTTAATAATTTACAAATACACCTGAAAATGCTTTCTTGGTCGCCTTTCAGTTTTATGCCTCCACTGAGGCTCATCTTCATCCTGAGGACTGGACCTCAGGGTCCAGCTTGGGCCTTTGCAAATACCTCTAATCCTTCAGTTAGGGTCTGAAGACTCATTCCATTCTGGACATGAATGCAGGTAACACCTAGAAAGAAAAGAAGCCATGTTTCATCAGGCTTATTATTACTCTCACCTTTTTTGGGTGTCTCCTGTCACACAAACTATCCACCCTGTGCCTATTTACCTACCCACTCCTAGGGACCCTTTCTCATCATTCCCCAAATGACTGTTCTCACCACTCAGTACCCAGTTTGTTGACGTCTATGATATTCCTCTTCTCATCATCAAAGAAGATCATCTGGGAGAAAAAAATTCTAGTCTTCTGTTGCAACCTGTGCAAAACAGGGCAGGGGGCAACAACACTGGCTTCTTAGCTCTTTGAGCCTCTCTGGTCTTATCACACCCTGCTTCTATCCTTCATCTCCTACCTCTCAAAGTGTGTGACTTTACTGCCTGGATAGATTTCCCGATGAACAAAGTATTTGACAAGGTCAAAAAGCTCCAGTAGCTGGTTGGCTCCTTCAATCTCACCTGTCCTGCATGATGTAATAGATGGGATCAGAAGAGTGCAGGGCCAGGGCTGCAAGCGAATTTATGTATACTGGTTGCTGTTTCTCCAGGATGAGTATGCGTCCCTGGCCCTTATTCAATTTCATAACCTTCCTGTCTGACACAGGGCGCTGAGATCTGTGTTGAATAAATACAAAGCACAGGGGAGGGTGCAATTCGAAAAATATGCAAATACGTGCAAATATGCACTGCCCCAATTTTTAGCCAAGGGGTTACACGAGAAGTCTTCGCACGCAAACAGCTCTCAGCATTAGACCGACATTTTTTTTTCAGTCGCTCTTCTTACCGGGAAGCGGCCGCGACGGGCACCTCGAAACCCCGCAACCGTTCTAGGACCTGAGGCACCTCTGGGTACAGTCGGACTGGGTGGCCTCGTCTATCGCGCACAGTCCCATCTCTGGAGAGGACGAGAGTGTGCTCAACTCTGACCGGACCCCACCTTGCCCCAACCTTTTCTCACCTGCTCTTGTGGAACGGGGGGTCCACGTGCGTGTCCACCCAGAACGGCCAGAGCGTAAAATCTGGAAGAGGAAGAAGGGGGAGGGTTCAGCCTTGGAAGGCGCTCGGGTCTGGAAAAGGAGAGCGCCCAAGAAACTGTCCCCAGTCGGATCCCTCACCCAGATCGAAGACGGCGAGCTCCGGGAGCCGCGCCATACCCGCTGCGTGAACCGAAGCGGCTTTCTCCCGGCCCGAGAGCTTGCCAACGCCCCGCCGGCGGCGAGGCCGTCCCAGCTGCCTGAAGGAAACGGCGGCTAGAGCGTCGCCACGCGGGCCTGGGGGCCTCTCAGGAACGCCTCCTGACGGAGGAAAGGGCGAAGGACTGCAGCACTGCCAACGCGACCGCACGCAGTACCACCGCGGGCCCCAGGTCTCTCCAACCAGCCTCCCCACATTCTACTAATTAGAGCAGCCAGGAAATGGAAACCCTCGCTTTTGGCACTTCTCATTTTATCTTACCAAGCAGGCCCTAAGGGATTCATCAGCGCTTATGTCACTCCTCACTCAAACTTTCTCCGCATCAACCTCTCCAAAGTAAACACAGAGCCCCCAGCAATATACCAGTCAGAAAGAATACAGTGTTTGTAAAGACACTGAGGCCTTCCTTGAACCAGGCCCAAATGTCCAGTAAGGCCACAATAGGAGAGAATTCATGCTCTGGATTCTACCACCGACATCAGTAGTATGCTGGTAGACGTGTAACAACCAGTTTGGGGGAGCAAATGTTTTGTATTGTTACCCAGTTTCTGTAAATATTCCTTCTATGGCCAGTTTCAAGCTACCAACATGAAGTCACTTAATAGTGGGTTGGGAAGAAATGCCAATTAGCTCTCGTGAGCCAGTAAGAGCTGAGCACACCACTGAGAGTGTGCCTCTCTGGAGTTCCATAATCCTCTAAGGGCACATTCCCGTCCAACATTCCCGTCCATCGTTCTACTCCTGTAGCACGGCATAACTGGGTGCCTTGGGTCCAATTTTTACTTCAGTGACATTTGTGCAACAGAAGAAAGATTCAAAGAGGCTAGGGAATATTTTATTGATAGCCAGGGACATAGCCATAAGAGAGGGAAGCACACAGGACTGCAAACTAAAACCCAACAGCCAGCAAGGGCCCTTTAGGCCAGGAACACCGCATCCTGGGGTCCTCACAGTCTCCCACCAACAGGCACATAAGACTGGGCATCCAGGAGAGGGGGCAGTGGCTCTGGTGTCCCCCAGAGTGTGAGGATATATGATGCCTCATTTTGAGAGACAGGGTAAGGAGATAAAAAGGAGGGAGGGTCCATCACTGCCTAAGACCACCTCCTCCTCTCAGAGCCAACACCAAGTGGAGGACTGAGCCACCTAGGATCTTATAATCAGCTGCTGTCTTCTCATCATTCCTGCAGAAAAAGGAGGCCAGACAAAAAAAAAAAAAGCATTAGAAATACCATCTAGAACAAGATTCTTAAGCTGGTTTTCATGGATCTCTCAGGTGGGGTTGAGGTTCTATGAACTCAGATGAGAAAAAAATACATCTTTATTTTTATTAAACCCTAACTGAAATTTGGTATTTCTTTTAATTTTAAACACAATAAAAACCCAGTGGTATCAATAATGTGGGTAACCTGTTAACAGAAATAAGGTATTTTCATAACAGTTTGCATGTATCTTGACAATATTTCAAAATTATGGAGTTATTACACCCACCATTAGGTCTTAAATGTATTAAAGCAGCACATATATCACAAATTTGTTTTTTTAGTATTTTGGTAACTATTCAATATAGTTTCTTTTGTAATATTACATATTTTATTTTTTGTCTAAAAAATCTTATTCTGAAAAGGGGTTCACAGGCTTCACCAAATTGTCAAAGGGTCTGAGGCACCAAAAAAGAGGCAGGCCTGCTCCACCTTCCGTATTTGCTCCCTTATTTTCACAGAAGGCTGTCATGCCCTCACTCCCATGTCACACTCACATCTGTTTACCACTGTAGATCAGCCGCTGCTGCTGGGGGGGGATTCCCTCTTTCTCCTCCACACGCTCCTTGATTCGCTCCACCTTTAGGGGTATACCAGTAGTCAGGGGTGGGACCATGGAAGTGGTAAGAACAAGAGCTATGCAGACAGCATTGAGAGGGAATAGACCAAGTTCCCCTGCATATCCAAACACATGTACATACAGGGAGATGGGCATGAAGAGGTACTGACCACACATTACCTTGTCTGTGGGTTCAATGTCAATTTCAATCTCCTTTCCAGTCAGCGTCTGAAACAGGCAAGGGTTTGATGAGTCCTACAGTCCAATATACAATTTTTCTTGGATATACAGTTTTTCTAGCCCACTAGAATCCATGAGAATACCAGCACTCCCTTAGCTGCAACTGCAATAAGAGGTATCCTAAGCAAAGTATTCCTTTGAGTCCGAAGGAGCTTGCTTTATGTATCAATTTTAGAAACTAACCCTCCAATATTCCAAGAATTCTTTAGGACATGAGAGACCTCTAACCAGGTTTGAAGTACACAAGGTTCCACATTCTACTCTCCCATATCTTCTCTAGATGTCTATTTAAATCCTAAATTACTGCTCTGGTCTTCTTAACTTCTTCCACAGGCTAAGGGCTGCTGATATCCAAATACAACAATTATACTGATTATACACTTAGGAAGGTTGTGCTTCATCCACTGTAATCTCCCATCCATCCTTGCTTTTCAAGCTCTATCCACACCAGTCTGCAAAAATCTAGACCACAAATACACTATGTACCATCTAATTTAGGGGCATTTCTTTGCTTCCACTGTTTTCTTTGTTGCCATACCCTCCCCTCCACTCTTTCTCAAACCTTCAAGGGTCCTTTAAGATTGATGATTCATCCCCAATGCACTTTAATGCCTATTACAGCTAGTTGTTTTAAGTGTAAAACTCTCCAATTTACACTCCAACTTTACAAAGGGCAGAGACTGTTCAATTCATCTTCCTAATCTAAGCACAAAACAGTGTTTGACATGTAAGCAGTCAATAAATATTTGTAGAAAGGCTAAATATACACCAGTGGTCAGGTTACGATCACAGCCAATATTTACTGACACACTTTCCCAGAGTCAGAAACTGTGCTGAATGTTTACATGCATCAATACACTTAATCCTTGCAAGTATTTGTGACATATGTACTATAACTACATCACTTTATAGGTGAGGGAAATGGGGTTTGGACAGGCTAAAAAGCATGCCTATTAAGTCAAAAGAAGAGTGTGGCTCTAAACACAGACTCTCTGGCCCCAGAGACTGGGCTTTTATCTCTGTATTCAGTACAGTAGACCCTTAAAGAACATGGGGATTAGGGGCGCTAACCCCTCAGGCAGCCAAAAAATCCACATGTAGCTTTTGATTCCCCTAGAACTCAACTAACAGCCTATTGTTGACCGCAAGCGTTACAGATAACATTAGCTGTTAACACATATTTTGTGTTTTATGCATTATATGCTGTATTCTTATGATAAAGCTTAAGAAAAGGTTTTTCAAATTGTTGCTAATCTCCAAAAAATGTTCTTCCAAAATATTTATTGGAAAAAACCCACATATAAGTGGACTTGATAGTTCAAACCTGTGTTTGTTCAACGGTCAACGTTACTGCCTGAGTCTGGCTGGTCTGGTATTGGGACCCAATGTATGCTCCTGCAGTAGGCTCACAAAATGACATGTTGTTTCTACTTCAGGTGTTCACATAGACCAGCATGAAGAAGTACTTAGGACCTAATTTCCCAACTACGAGAATGGGTCAGTACTAAGAATATTTTTTTCAATGTAAGGAGTAACTCCTTTAGATTTACCTGTTTGGATGCAAAAGAATAAATTACAACAGTGATTCTCAAGTTTCTACCCCAACCCAAGCTGGCTTTTGTGAAGATTTTCAATGGCCTATGGTAAAATGAGAAAAATAACAACAGTGAGATTTTCATGAAACTAAATATATTCAGGTGTTAAAAATGTCGTTTTATGAAATGACAGTGACAATATATGGAAAGACCCTTTCCTGACCAAAGAAAAGTATGCAATTCTGTGTTGTCTACAAATTATTCCACTTTATTGATCTTAATACTCTAAATGCAAAGACTCTTACACAAGACAATTTTCTTTCTAGGTAACTAACCTGGAGAAAAACTTGAAACTTGAGCATGTATTCAAAGAGAAAAATGTGAGGTTTACTGCAGCACCATTTGTAAAAGCAAAACACTAGAAATAGCCTAGTGTCTAATATGTAAACTATTAAACTATGGTACATCTACAGAATGATACTATTATGCAACAGTTTATAGATTAACATGGAAAGGTCTAAAAATGTGTAATTATATATATCACTTTCTATATATAGATATATACTTATATACATGCATAGAAAAAAAGATTAAAAGTATACATATCTCCTGCAATAGTGATTGCCTTTGAGAAGGGGAATAGGACTGAGGGGAAGGTTTATCATGGGTAACTCCCTTTATCTGTACTACTAAATTTCTAATAAAAAACATATTCTTTTATCATATGAATATTAATACAAATACTCCTTCTGATTCAATAACAGAAAATTTTCAAGAGTAAAACAGACTCAAAGAGATGGCCTAGACCTGCTCTACCAAAAGTAAGATGCTTGGACCTTAACAGCATTTTAAAAAAATTATGGTTTATAAAACCTAAAACTCGATGACTGAACCTGTTTCTGAAATTGACTATAGAAGTCCATGAATGTACCCAGAGAGCAATTTGGCAATGTGGTGTCCCAGCCACACTTCTGGGAAAATAATAATGATGATGTCCAAAAATATGTCTGTGACAATGGTCATCAAAGCCTTTTAATACCAAAAAATTAGAAACACAATCTCAATATCAAACAACTGAGGATTAAATAAATTATGACAAAGGGAAAATTATAGTCCTCAAATAATGTTTAGAATAACAGTATAATTTTAACTTTGTAAAAAAAAAGAAAAAAACAACACATACATGTACTTATGTGCTTTCATAAGAGTTTGGAAGGATATACACATCAGTGCTTTTATCTTGGGTTGTGGGATTATGGGTGATTTAAATTATATTATTTGTATTTTTCTGTATTTTCCGCATTTTTTAATACCAGAAATACAGTCATGAGAAAAAATTTTTTTCAAACAATATCCTTGATGAGAGTATAAGGAAATGATTCTGTAAAGCAGCACCATCCAACAGAGAGAGAAATGTAATGTAAGCCACATTTACAGTTTTAAATATACTAACAGCCACATTTTGAAAAGGTGAAATTAATTGTTATATTCCTAAACCCAGTATATTTAAGATATTATCATTTCAATATGCAACCAATGTAAAAATTGTTAATGTATTTTCCTTTTTTTGTAACCAGATCTTCAAAATCCTATGTGCACTTCATTCATACTTAGAGCAATCTCAACTCAGATGGTAAATTTTCATCTGAAATACCTGATCTGTATTTAAACTTCATAATTTACACTTGAAAAGGTAGATTTTCACCCCCAACTTGTTCCAAACATACTTAAAAGTTTTCCAGGGAGCTAAGATAGCGGCGTGAGCAGAACAGTGTAAATCTCCTCCCAAAAACACATAGAGCTATGAAAATATAACAAAGAAAAATCTTCCTAAAATAGAGCCCACAGGACACAGGACAATATCCAGACCACATCCACACCTGCAAGAACCCAGCGCCTTGCGAAGGGGGTAAGATACAAGCCCCGGCCCAGTGGGACCCGAGCGCCCCTCCCCCAGGCTCCCGGCGGGTGGAAAGAAACCTGAGTGGTTTTTCTTTTTGGCGAGTGCTTTTTGGAAGCCTTAAAGGGACAGGGACCCCGCTGCTAGGGAGGCAGGGCAGCAGGACCAGTGAGCGGGTGCCTGG